TAAACTATACAGAATGCCTATATGCCAAAAAGAAACTGATTTATTGAAGTCTTAAATAATCAATGTCAAGATTGAAACAACTAATAAAAATGAATTAAACAATCCACTTAATTGCATATGCCATTGTCTAATCACGACTTAGTTGCTAAGTGAATAACGAATTAGAGTTTGAAGTGAATGGCATTGAGTTCTAGTCCCTAAATGAATAACATCTGTAGGATACACTTAGCTAGCATTCAGCCAAATCTCTGTGGAGTATTGAGCCTACGATTTTCTAGTAATGACATTACCATTGAGGTATTTCTATAAATCTAAGTTATAGTACAACCATTAATGACTATCTTAGATGATATCAGTTTTACTTTCTTCCTTTATCATTGAACTCTACCATAACCTTTCTAACATGATAGCCATTTCATAATAGATAATTTTTATAATCTTTATGATCTTATATTTGACTATATAAGTTTTGGGGGATGTTAGATTCTCAGAACTCACTTGGAAAACTACCTAATTTTGTTACTTTAATTAGAAAATTTGAATTTCTTTGTTTTCGCACCAAAAGCATTCTTGTCATCTTCATGTCGTATTTCCCACTTGGGAAACATCTTAAATGCTATTGGTCCATTATGTCTTTTAGTATGCTATTTGGTAACTCTATCCAAAGATGGTTTTGTACTGTATATATATACGTTTTGATTTGTGTTTGTTGTTATCGTTCGTTTCTGGCTATTTGCAGAAAATACTTCCTCTTTACAATCTTGAACTTCTTCTTCTAGTTAGCGGAGCTGGGACGCATCAGAATGGCTAGCTTATTGGTTTTTGGTCACCAAGTCTTTGTTCTCGTTCACAGATGAATTAACTCGTGATAGCTTTACACCTAGCATAAGTACAATTTCATCATTGATAATACATAATGAAGCATTGATCAAAACGGAAAACGCATCTATCAATGTATATTCCGTGATAATATACCTGTCATAGATAAGAAGAAGAAGAAGAATAAGTCAACTCTATGAAGTCATATTGTTGAAATCATAAGATTCTTTCAATATACATATACATATACATATATACAATAAGTTCTCGTATTTAATTACTTTAGTAAAACTGTAATACCTTTTAGATAGGTTTAATATCATATCATTCTTGGCGTTCTAGTGAGAAACCGTAACCAGTGGAGCTAATTCGTGTCGGGTAGAGACAGGTATCTACCTCAGTACAATGAAAGATGGTCGCGCTATTTCGTGGATTGGTTGATGTTAGACACTAACACCATTGGATGCCGGCTCAGTGCTCGAGTAGGTTAAGCGTTCGCGGGCGAGACTAAATGCTCTGGGTTCGGATCCTGTGAGTGGGATCGTGAATGCACACTGCTGAGGAGTCTCACAATAGGACGAAATCGGCCGTCCAGTGCTTTCAGGTTTCTAACGGTGGTCTAACATCAATCGGTTCATGATCTCAATCAAAAACTTAATAATCTTCACAACCTCAATAATGATAATATCATATGACTCATTGACCAATCAAAATATGATTTATACAATGTTAGTACTATTGCCAAACCAATGACATTCAATCGGTATAAATGAATAACCTAGAATCAATATTGGTCTTTTATTCTGTTAGCTCTTCTTCCAGTTGAAGTCCAGAACACGAATACCACGTTTTAATATTACGAATCATTTATTTCAAACATATTTGGTTTAGATTATATCAGTCAAACAGACTTTATCACACCATAATGTAGGACTATAATATTGATATATGATCAAGCTAAAAAAGTGGCTGTGAATATGAGAGACTGTAACTAAAAGATTGGGGAATATCTTAAGAATAGTAAATTTTAGTTATTTAATAGTTAAATTCATGAGTCAATTGAATCTAGACTATTATGGAAAACCTGGAAAGGGACTTCTCAGCAATTATTGAATTCAAGCAGTATTTCCTTGAGTTCTAGTGATAAGATGTGACTAGTGGAGTTCAACCAAGGTCTATTGTGACATAGTAACTCATTGAAGACAATAATAGACGATGGCGTCATTTCGTAGATTGATGTTAACTCAATGGTCTACTGGTTAAGAGTACATGTGAGAGACCGATAGGTCCTAAGTTGGAATCCTGAGAACTGGATCATCAATCCGTACTAATTAGAAGTCCCATACTAGAACAAAACCATCATCCAATAGTTCCTGGTTTTCAATGATGATCTACATTCAAATGACTTATGAATTCAACTATTAAATATTGATTGATCATCAAGAATTGATATGTAAATAATATACATTCTTTTCGTTGCACATTACCAGAAACCATGATATTTCTGATTAGACTCTTTTGTAACTTGTACAATGAAAAAATTGTACACTTATCAGGTTCATTGACATAATGATCTGTTAAAACAAACAAACAATCATTTTAATAGTTGAAATCATGAATCAATTGAAGCTAAACCATCTGGCGCGAGACTGATAGGTCCTGAGTTCGAATCCCGCCGGGGTGGGCGGGATCGTGGATGCGCACTCCTGAGGAGTTCCATACTAGGACGAAACGGCTATCCAGTGCTTCCAAGTTTTCCATGATGGTGATCTAGCCTCAATCGATTCATGATTTCAAGTATTGAAATTATCGATTCTCCACAAAACCCCCTACTAGATCATCATTTATTGAAATCTCTAGATCTTATAATAAGTATAAATCATTCAAATATTCAAAGAAACCGTCAATTTCATTCAACGCAATTTGTCTATTTTGAAATGATCTTTATTTCCAAACAAAAAACAAACAAACAAACATTCTATTATTTATTAAGTATTATTAATAATCAATAAAATATTGTAACAAAATCAATAATTTTGTGTAGTTATATGTATTTCTATACTCCGTTTGTTTGTTTCAACATGCAATTCATTATGTTCAATAATCTATTGAGTGTAATGATTATAAATAATAATAGTAATTATATATATATAGTTAATATTCAATTAAATTGACCTTAATTTATTGTGTTTTTCAATGTGTGCATATTGAGGAGTTCTGTGTGTGTGTGTGTGTGCTTTACCGTTATATTCTCCAAAATAATCAATATATTTTGAATAGTTGAGATCATGAATTAATTAAAGTTAGACTAACATGAAAAACCTGTGCGTTTATGATCCCACCTTGAGAGATTCGAACTTAGGACCTTTCAATCTTGCGTACAAGCGATTAACCATTAGACTACTGAGTTGGTATTTTAATGGTGTTAATGCATAACTTCAACAACCATCCAGTACTTCCAAGTTTTCCATGATGATCTAGCTTTAATAGATTCATAATTTCAACTACAAAAAATTAGTATAATATCCCCAATACCCCTTCTTATTATTGAATACTAAGAAGTATAACATAGTATCTATACTTTCCTTGTATGAAACGTCTTGACAATAAGGATCCATAATGAAACTTCAGATATTTAGACAACTAATTTTTAACCGACAAGATTATTGAATTAGTATTCAATGGTTTAAACTTTTGAATTCAATCAATTAGAGAGATTGAACCGTCAGTTGTTGCTGTTGTTGTTTGATTTCAGTCAGTTTATTATGTGAATATTCATTTTTCCTCATTGTGAATTATCATTCGATTAATATCAGATGGGTTTTGTGGATGTTATAGTAATTTCAATGGTTAAAATCATGAGTCAGTTGAAGCGAAAATCTCGCAAGGGGCGAGGTCGTGGATGCTCACTACTGAGGAGTCCCACAATAGGACGAAACGGCCGTTCAGTGCTTGCAGGTTTTCCATGATGATCTAGTTTCAATTGATTCATGATCCTAACCATTGAAATTACTATAATTCGATTGTTTACCGTCATAATCAGTATTATTGAGACGATAACTAAAATATCCGTATGGAAAAAAATATAGAAAAATGATTACGATGTGTTTAAGCCATCATTGATTTATATGCCATTCATTTCTGAAGTACAGGTTTGTGAATGTCTGTGGTAGTAATCTGTTAGCCAAATCAACTCATTAATCCTTTAACTTTGTACACAAATCACCAGTTCATAATGGTAATAAATATCGATAGACTTAGGTTAGCACTTTATGATTAGACGAACGTGTGTGAACAGGATATCTAAGTGGTAATATCTTAGGCTATGAAACTGGTTGATGCGAATTTTAATCTCACAGGAAGCATCAAACCCCTCAAGATCACAGGTACACCTTGCTAATGAGTCTAAACTAATACTAGACGTAGGTTAATCAACGTTTCATGTCGACTTCCTTCAATCACCACGTTACATCTCAACATAATTCCCTCTGTGTTGAGTCATTTAGGTTAAATGATCATATTACAACTTGATATATCGAACTCTATCAACAGTAAGAAATAGATAAACATGACAGCAATTATTATTCGGTGACCAATCACCTGTTTTTTTTTTATTTTGCCACTGTTGGTGTGATCCAGAAAGGATCATCTAATCAGCGTTCATTTGAAGTTTTAGCCAGAAACATCAAGGAAGTAAAACGTCTCATGTAGAGTTTCTGATTGGTTGATTATCTACACTGCTATTATGTTTAGTAGCATTCTAGAATGTTCAAGCAACCTAAGGAAATTTAAAATCTTATTAAAACCCTATATTTTCTCTATTAAAATGAACTTTTGGAATAAAGTACTTCTCTTGTAATTCTAGCTTAGGTGGGTAGGGGATTACAAAAATAACTTAGGAACTGAATATAACGTTCAATGAACAAGACTTATCAACCATAAACTTAAATCAGCTAATTTCATTCTATAATGAAAGATATCATTCAAATAAAACTGATCCTTATACACATAGTAATTTAATCAATAATGATAATAAATACTATGATCAGTCTAACCATCTTTTAAAATTCGTATTACCTTAGTAACATAAATCAGAATGTTTTTTTGTTGTTGCTACTGTTGTTGTTTTTGTTATCGTTAAATTGATTTTCTTCATTTCTATTTTAGTATCTTAGATCAAGTTATGAAAATCAATCTAAAACCGGTAATATTCACAATTCCAATATGAATAATACCATGAATGTACTGAATGATGATACATGTGAAAAATTATTGGAAGGAATTGCTGAAGCTAAAACTACCATTAATTTATTTTTAAATAATCGATTTGAAGAAGCAAAGAATCGTTTACATATGAAGTAATTGGAACTTTATTTTCATTAATATAACTGTGTCTCTCTCTCTTTCTCTCTTATGAAGTACACATAGTGGTATGTATCAAGAATTATCCAATTCTACAATATTATTTATTCAAGGAATGGCTACAATAGAACAGGTATATAATGACATATTTTCATTATATATTGTATAGTAGATATGATGAATTGAATAATTTTTTCTGGTTAGCGTTTTTTTTACCGAGTTAGTTTTCTACGGGATGGGGTCGCTAACCCCCATGCCCAACCCTCCTCCTTTATCCGGGCTTGAGACCGGCAGTAGCCCCCGGAAAGGGACTCCTATGATGAATTAAACTGCAAAATCGTGCATGGACGACAGTTGACAAAATCATTCGAACTAAAGACCGGTATCAGGCAAGGTTGCTTACTCTCACCCTTTCTCTTTCTCCTGGTGATCGACTGGATCATGAAGACATCAACATCTGAAGGGAAGCACGGGATACAGTGGATAGCTAGGATGCAACTGGATGATCTAGACTTCGCAGATGATCTGGCTCTTCTATCGCATACGCAACAACAAATGCAGGAGAAGACAACCAGTGTAGCTGCAGCCTCAGCAGCAATAGGTCTCAATATACACAAAGGGAAAAGCAAGATTCTTCGATACAACACAACATGTAACAATCCAATCACAATTAACGGAGAAGATTTGGAAGATGTAAAAACCTTTACATATTTGGGCAGTATCATCGATGAACACGGTGGATCTGATGCATATGTGAAGGCACGGATTGGCAAAGCAAGAGCAACATATTTACAACTGAAGAATATCTGGAACTCAAAACAACTATCTGTCAACCAACATCAAGGTCAGGATTTTCAATACAAATGTCAAGACAGTTCCACTGTATGGGGCGGAAACCTGGAAAACTACGAAATCCATCGTCCAAAAGATACAGGTGTTTATTAACAGTTGTCTACGCAAAATACTTCAGATCCGCTGGCCGGACAATATAAGCAACAAACTACTGTGGGAGAGAACAAATCAGATCCAGGCGGAGGAAGAAATCAGGAAGAAGCGCTGGAAGTGGATAGGACACACATTGAGGAAAACACCCAACTGGGTCACAAGACAAGCTCTCATATGGAATCCTCAAGGCCAAAGTAAAAGAGGAAAACCAAAAAAACACATTACGCCGAGAAATGGAGATAGATATGAGAAAAATGAACAAGAATTGGATGGAACTAGAAAAGAAGGCCCAGAACAGAGTGGGTTGGAGAATGCTGGTCGGCGGCCTATGCTCCATTGGGAGTAACAGGCGTAAGTAAGTAAGATATAATTAATTAGGTTGTTTTGAATCATATGTTGTATTTTAATGGTTTAATTCATGAATCACTTAAAACTGTTGAGGAGTCTCATGCTAGGACGAAACGACTGTCTAATGTTTCCAAGTTTTCCATGGTGGTGGTCTAGCTTCAATTGAATCATGATGTAAACTATTGAAAATAAAACAATCGTTGACCACTTATACTAATGTAATCATATAACAGTTATTAAAATTCTATACACACCTACTTAATAACGATATAATGCATCAATCATTATGTATTAATTCCATAAGGAAACAATCGGTTAATTTTTGTTAATAGAACTAAACAGCATAACTTTTATGATAGTTCAATCGAATGTTTTCTATTGAATAAACTCACTCAGTCAGTCAGCTGCAACGTAGGACCAGGCACGCATATGCATCGGTCCAAGTTGCCATACCACATTGACACAGCAACATGAACGCCGGATTCATTACTTACTTACTTACTTACTTACGCTTGTTACTCCCAATGGAGCATAGGCCGCCGACCAGCATTCTCCAACCCACTCTGTCCTGGGCCTTCTTTTCTAATTCCATCCAATTCTTGTTCATTTTTCTCATATCTATCTCCATTTCCCGGCGTAATGTATTCTTTGGTCTTCCTCTCCTCCTTCAACCTTGAGGATTCCATATGAGGGCTTGTCTTGTGACGCAGTTCGGTGCTTTCCTCAATGTATGTCCTGTCCACTTCCAGCGCTTCTTCCTGATTTCTTCCTCCGCCTGGATCTGATTTGTTCTCTCCCACAGTAGTTTGTTGCTTATATTGTCCGGCCAGCGGATCTGAAGTATTTTGCGTAGACAACTGTTAATAAACACCTGTATCTTTTGGACGATGGATTCATATAAGTAGTTAATTCAGTGCTGGTAATATATAGAAGAAAGATTGCATATAAGGAGATAGTACAGGACGGAAGAATTAGTTCCTAGAAAGAAAGATTTGAAGTGATTTTAATCTCTTAGTTTAAAGGAAGACAGAGAGTGTATACAACGACGCCATTGTAATCGATTCTGAACCATGTCACCAAGAGTCTCTAACCATTGGTTACGATAATCACGCAGACTCCAACCAGGCAGTCTGAATCTTGAAACATGGCTCAGACCAGAAGTTAGTGACTTCAAGCACTGATGCCATGTTTTGGTTTGGCCGCCCCTTTCTTCCAATTATCCCTAACATCGGTTAGCATTGCGCGTCGTGGTATTCCGTGTTCAGACATACGCAGCACGCGGCTCAACCATCTCAGTCGATGAAGATTTATAACTTCATCAACTGATCTACCATCATTCCCTAGTACTCTACGTCTAAACTCACTATTACTTACCTGGTGATCCCAGCAGATGCGAGCAATATTTCTAAGGCACGTTTGGTCAAATATTAGTAACTTACGAGTATCTTCTACTCTTAAAGGTCATGTTTCGCAGCCGTATAGCAGAACGGAACGAACTGTCGCTCAGTATACTCGTCCCTTAATTGATAGACGGATATCTCGCCTTCGCCATAGATGACGTAAGTTGTCAAAGGCTTTTCTAATCCGTGCTGAGATTTCGTCAGACACCAACCTATTAGGGCTGATCAGACTTCCAAGATAAGTGAAGTTGTCGACGCGTTCGACTACTTTACCCCCTATCCTTAGTTCAGGTGTTGACGCAGACCAGTCCTGAAGCAACAACTTGCATTTGGAGGGAGAGAAGCACATCCCAAACATTCTGGCATTGTTGCTCAGTGCTACCAAAAGACTCTGCATTTCATCAGCGTCTTCACCAAACATTTATTGAATAAACTATCTATCTGTATATGGTTGCAAGTAAATGATCTATGACAAGGTAATCAGTGGATTTAGTAAATCAATTAAACTATATGTTCAGATAACCTTATGAAGTTAATTGGAAATAAAAAAAACTACTAAGCAATTCATAGTAATATACATGGGATTAACTCAAAAAAAAGACAAAATGCTTGATAATGTAGCCTGATTTATTAGGGTAAACTGTTAGATAAGGTCAATATACAGCATTTGTTCTCTCAATATATCAGTAATGTGATGACATTGTCAGCGAGATTGAATATTTGTTGGTATCATTTCTGGATAGATCTATGGATATATAGGGATAGTTCAATTTGGAATGAATATCAGAAGGAGTTTGTGTCGACATTATAATAATTTGAATAGTTAAGATCACAAGTCCATTGAAGTTAGACCACCATGGAAAACCTGGAAACACTGGAAAGGCCATTTTATTCTACTGTGGAACTCCTATTTGAAATTATCATTTCTAAACTAATAATCATTTTATTGAGTTGAATTTAATCCATTGATGATTTTTCCACCTTTAACATGTCTCTGTAGGAAACAATTTCCTACAGGTTTAACTAAGCTATTCTCTAAACTGTCGAATACAGAGTCTTGCTTTAGCCAAAGTCAGAACAAGTAAGCTATTTGGCCTGATAAACTGATTGGCCAGAACCTTCACATCCCTGGCCACGTAACTTTTCTAGTTCAATTTCCTTTTCTAACTGGGTTATGCGTAACTTAGCTAACTCTAGTTCTATCATACTATTGTCTTTGGGTTCGTTCTTTTCAAGTTGATCCTCGTCATAAACTCCCAAATGATGGGGTGATAACTCTGGTATCTCATCGGAATCGTAGTATTTAATGGAGGTCATTTCAGTAGGTATATTGAAAATTACTGTTAGAAACTTTGTAGGAAACAATTTCCTACAGGTTTAACTAAGCTATTCTCTAAACTGCCGAATATAGAGTCTTGCTTTAGCCAAAGTCAGAACAAGTAAGCTATTTGGCCTGATAAACTTTATCTGTTTCTAAAACATAAATTACACACCGTTAGTATACAAAATAAACAGTACAGTCTATTAACGTAGGGCGAAAAAGAGACATGATTAACATACCGAACAGTAATCAGAGAATAGGAAAAATGAGTCAGCAAAGCGAATATTGTTTTATAATGAACATAAAATTATGATTGGTGGATAAAAAAAAGGTATAGTCATACACTTACTTCCTTACGCCTGTTACTCCTCGTGGAGGAGCATAGGCCGCTCACCAGCATTCTCCATCCAACCCTGTCCTGGGCAATCCTTTCAAGCTCTTTCCAGTTCTTATTCATCTTTTTCATATCTGCTTCTATTTCCCGACGTAATGTGTTCTTTGGCCTTCCTCTTTTTAGCTTCCCTTCAGGATTCCAAGTTAGCGCTTGTCTCGTAATGCAGTTTGATGATTTCCTCAATGTATGTCCTATTCATTTCCATAGTCTTTTCCTAATTTCCTCTTCAGCTGGAAGCTGGTTGGTTCTCTCCCACAAAAGGCTGTTGCTGATGGTATCCGGCCAATGGATGTTGAGTATCATGCATAGACAGCTATTAATAAATACCTGTACCTTCTTGAGGGTGGTTGTTGTAGTTCTCCAAGTTTCAGCTCCGTACAGTAGAACTGCCTTGACGTTCGTATTGAAGATTCTGACTTTGATATTGGTTGAAAGTTGTTTTGAGTTCCATATGTTCTTCAGTTGAAGGAATGCCGCTCTAGCTTTGCCATTCCTTGCCTTGACGTCTGCATCTGAACCTCCTTGTTTATCGACGATGCTTCCCAGGTATGTGAAGGATTCCACGTCTTCCAGAGTTTCGCCATCAAGAGTGTTCGGATTGCTGTTCTCCGTGTTGTGTTTGAGGACCTTGGTTTTCCCTTTGTGTATGTCTAGGCCTACCGATGCAGAGACTGCTGCTATGCTGGCTGTCTTTATCTGCATTTGTTCGTGTGTATGTGATAGAAGGGCTAGGTCATCTGCGAAGTCCAAGTCGTCTAATTGGTTCTGAGCTGTCCATCGTATGCCGTGGTTTCCCTCAGATGTCGAGGTCTTCATAATCCAGTCGATCACCGGAAGAAACAGGAAGGGAGAGAGTAGACAGCCTTGTCTTACTCCGGTCCTTACTTGGAATGCGTCTGTCAGCTGTCCTCCATGCACTACTTTGCACTGTAGTCCATCGTATGAGTTCCGGATAATGTTGACAATCTTCTCAGGAACTCCGTAGTGTCGAAGAAGTTTCCATAACGTTCTCCTATCTACACTGTCAAATGCCTTCTCATAATCAATGAAGTTGATGTAGAGTGACGAGTTCCACTCAATTGATTGTTCGACGATGATCCGTAGTGTCGCAATCTGGTCTGTGCACGACCGGTCCTTACGGAATCCAGCTTGTTGATCTCGAAGTTGAGAGTCAACTGCGTCTTTCATCCTGTTTAGTAACACTCTGTTGAAGACTTTACCCGGTATTGACAGTAGTGTAACGCCTCTGTAGTTTTCACACTTGTTCAGATCTCCTTTCTTTGGAATCTTGATGAGGTGTCCTTCTTTCCAATCCATCGGCACTTGTTCCTCCTCCCAAATCTTCTTGAATAGAAGATGAAGCATGCTTGTAGTTACTTCGATGTCTGACTTCAACGCTTCAGCTGAAGTCAGACAAGGTCAAAGAAAGTTAACGTGGTGGTGGGCGTTTCACCTTATCATTGATGCGTTCGTTTATCGATCACATTTTACATCTCATCTCCATAGATCAAGACTGTGGGGGTGGAGTTGGGTGAGGTGGAGAGGAAATCATCTCAATGTAATTGAGTATTTGTTAAATTAGTTGAACCATATCACGAGTTAAACACTTGTCGATAATGATTGAAATTAACAGTGTTCATTATGAGAATAGTTGATTTTGAGTTTATCCATATGAATGATCTTAGACAACTGTAATGAATATCAATCTTTTTCTTTTTCTACTTCTTCTTCTTCTTCTAGGAAAATCTTGAAACTGCTAAAGAACAATTAAAAACAACACTTAAAGCATGTCAATCAAATCGACGTAAAGCAGCTATTAGTGAAACATTCACTAAACAAATAGAAAAAAATCGTAATATAATTTATAGTTTATATACAGATGGTAAATTATTTCATTATATCTATACAATGAATCAATAATTTTTTGTAAATATATCATTGTCTTTTCATTGTTTAACTACGAAATTAAAGATTATTGAATAGATGTTTCATATGAACATGTAGTTACTTGCTTACTTATTTACTTAAACCTGTTACCCCTTAAAATGGAGAAGGATAGGCTGTCAACCAGTATACTTTAAGCAAATTTGTCTTAGGCTTTTCGTTCTAGTTCTATTCAATTGTTGTTCATTCTTCTTCTTCTTCTTCTTGTTCTTCTCATGTCTGTTTCCGTTTCTTGATGTAATGTGTTCCTTCGTGTTCCTCTTTTGTCTTTGGCTTTGAGGATTTGAAGTGAGAGATTGCCTTGTGACACAGTTGAGTGCTTCCTTCAATGTGTGTCTTATCCACTTCCAGCGCTTCTTACTGATTTCTTCCTCCACTGGAATCTGGTTTGTTCTCTCCTACAGTAGGTTGTGGCTGATATTGTTTGGTCAATGGATCCGAAGTATTTTGCCTAGACAACTGTGAATAAACATTTGCATCTTGTGGATGATAAAATGCGTAGTTATCCAAGTTTTCACTTCATGCAATAGAACTGTGTTGACATTTGTATTGAAAATTCTGACTTTCGTGTTGGTTGACAGATAGTTGTTTTGAGTTATAGATGTTCTTCAATTGTAAATATGCTGCTCATGCTTTTCCGATTCGCACCTTCACATCTGCATCAGATCCACCGTGTTTATCAATGATGTTGCCCAAATATGTAAAGGTTTGTACATCTCCCAAATCTTCACTGTCAAGTGTGATTCTATTGTTGTATCGGATAATCTTGCTTTTCCCTATTGTGTATGTTGAGACCTACTGCTTTTGAGGCTGCCACTACGCTGGTCGTCTTCTCTTGCATTTGTTGTTGCATGTGCAATAGAAGAGCTAAATCATCTGCAAAGTCTAGATCGTCCAGATGTATCCTAGTTGTCCACTGTATCCAGTGCATCCCTCAATAATACGCATACGTGTTTCTAACTGGTATCGTACTTAAGATAATATGATCAACAGATGATTGTGGATACATCTGTTAGCTTAGTTGAACTGAATAACATGTATATTAATCAGTTTAATTCCACGATGTCATCAAATAATTATGTTGTTAATGTAAATATTTTCACGGTGAGACTATAATTTATAGACGAACCAATTAGATTTACAATAACAGGTCACAGATTTTGGAGCGCAATTCATGTACTCATTTAGTTTTGGTATTATAACTCATATCAATTTATGATGTAAACCCCGAAATCTAATTTCCAACCTTAATCATCAACTGTAAATGATAATTGAAATTTTTCGCACAGCTTTATAATCCTCATTTGGTTCTAGTTATTAGGTAGCTCTTTCATAAGTTCTAACAGCGTTCTTCAACGCTTCAAGTGATTGGAATGTTACGATATACAATGTGCTCAAGAATAGGTTATCGGTTTCTGTGACAATGTGAGAAACAACAGAGCTCATGCTTTACACCTTATTACCGTCTGTAATTGGAAGAAAATATGCACTGTTGTCAAGTCCTAACATTTTATATCAAGTTTAAGAAATAAACAACCAATTATAATGAACTTCAAACTAGCTATTTGATTGGATGGAACAGAATGAAAATTATTGGATGATGGAAATGAAAAATCTTTTCAAATGGGATCAATTTATCATCATTTAAATGTCATTCATAAATCCTAGTCTTATCACATTGGTCTATTTTTCTTTTATTCTTCCAATCATCTAGAACAGGCTCATGCTGAACTTTGTTATGCAGAAGGTTTACTTCAATTGGCATTTCTTTCAATGTTACAAGATGAAAAATTAACAAGTCTTATAAAATGTTCTTTGAAAATAAGACAATGTTATAAATGTTATCGGTTAGTTCATTATATAATCTAAATGTTAATTCATTCGTCTAATGTTATAACAGTTGGGTTTCCAATGTTTACACGTATGGAATGTTAATTTACCTTAGACGAATATCTACAATAGATTCAGTCAGTCTTGAGTGCTGTTAGAGGTATAAGGGCGGTTATCATTTCCCGGTTGACCATACCGTGGAAGGGTTCTTCTGAAGATACCTAAAAAGGAAACTGGATTAGAGGTGCGCTTAGTCTTACCGCTCTTCAACCGACCTGTCTGACATGGTAGGACCTTGAGGAACGATTTTTCCGGCCAGTATAACTCGGTCGTTTCATCACGATAGGCGAAACCGACCACCACGTCGAGGTTGCAACAACGGTCGGGACGTACATTAGATTCCCTCACAGTGTCTATTCTACAGGACTTCAACACAACTCAGATAATCAAGAACGCGTGATTAACCTGACAACAGCGTAAATATATTTCTACAGCAAAACCCGACACAATCCAACAACAATTATTCACTAATTTTATTTATTTATTTGAACACATAAATATTGGTACATGAGGGCACCAAATATATATGCGCCACACAAATCTCATTTAATTTGTGTTTGAGCAGTGATACTGCTCGGGTGCCCAGACCGAAGCAGGTGATTTTATTAGGAGGCCATACCCCGAGCCTTCGACCTAAAGGTCTAACCCACAAGGCAGTTGAGCAACGTAGGGAGATGCAGTCCCATGGTAGCCTGTGACCAACGATTGGTTCATACGCTATTTGTTCCTTCAGGATACTGGAGCCCATGTGCATCATTGATTTGAGATCCCGTTAAAGTGCCGGACATTCGCTTTTCGTCCTCTCGTTTTCGTAAACAACACCGGTGTCACTTGAAGGCAGTGAGTAGGACTTCCCTGGCAGAGGCTTTATATGCATGACCGTGTGAGAGCATTTCGAGAGGGAGGGCAGGCCCACCCAACTCTCGGTCATACCAGGACATTTGGGGGCAACAACAATGAACAATCAATCAACCAATCAATCAATCAATAGTAATAATAATAATAATAAGGATAAGGGAATATATAACTTATCTGACACCTATCAGACTATCTACATATCTGACTAAGCAGACAACCAATCATTATCATTCTCGCCCGCTTATCATTCCGATTAATATTGATGACTTAACATATATGACAGTGATCTTGCATAAGCTGAATGTCTTTCTCGATTTAATTAACTCAACAGTAAAATCTAACTGTGGAAGGGAGTAATGAAGATCTGAGTCCCACAAGAGTCATCAATCACTTAAGCTTTACTAAAGTGTATTAACCAACAGGAAATAGAGTTTAAACTAGAATTCCTGTCAATTATTTCCAAAGATATGATATTCACATATGATTTACGCGGTTAATAGTCACCTATATTGAGTTGTACTTGGTTTGAATATTGAAATAACAGTTGAAAACGACTCCTAATATCGATTTATTGAATTCCAATTATAGACGGTTGAGTTCTAGTTAAGAATTCCGATAGGTTGATCAAGTCTATTTAAAGCTAAATAGGAAGTGAGAGATGCTGATTAAATTAAACTATTTGTGAAAACTCGATTTCACTTACTGAAGGACAGAGACGCTGTTAGTTGAAATTTGGTTTAATTTACCTTAAGAAAACATATCTGTATTTATGAATGAGTTTGTTCACATATTGTAGATTCGATCTATCGAATGCAGTTTCTTGGTCTTTTCGTCCACGTATTAGGCTTGGTTGTTAATCTAAACGTTGAATCCTGTCTGATCATCTATATTGGTCTTAAGGTTGTATAGTTAGAGTTTTATCTTCCATATGACTGAGGTATTCAAGATTGGTCAGTTTCTGAGTAGTAATGGGTGTTGTAACCGTCTTAACTTTAAGTGCTAACCCTATTATATGATTGAGATCATGAACCGATTGATGTTAAACCACAATTGAAAACCTGGGAGCACTGAACAGCCGTTTCGTCCTATTGTGAGACTCCTCAGCAGTGTGCATCCACTATCCCGCTCGTGGGATTCAAACACAGGGCCTTCAGTCTCGCTCGCGAACGCTTAACCTACTAGACCACTGAGACAGTCGGCATCCAACGGTGTTAATGTCTAACCTCAACCCATTTACGAAATTGCGCGACTATCTTTCATTGTACTGAGGTAGATACCTGTCTTTACCCGACACGAATTAGCACCATTGGTCACGGTTTCTCACTAGAACTCCGAAAATTTTCTCACTAAGCTAGTCACTAGTAAGCACATAGTAATTATCAGTATAGAGTTGTGGAGATACTTTTACTACCTCTACCACTAGGAGATTTGAATTGACAATTGTATCTCAGTGCTAATGTGGTATGGCAACTCAAACTGTTGTACGTACTTACGTACATACGTACGTACGTAAGAAGTTCTACGTTGTTGCTAACTGACTAACTGACTGACTGATGATTAGTGATAACTTCAAATAGGATCAGTAATTGATCTTCATCTAACACTATAAATCAACTCATCATTAAATGTTATATCATCCAGTATATCTGAATTATATTTTATATCAATGAATTAGTACAATGTTTATATTCTCTTCTTTTTTGTTCTAATTTCTTGACTAGTACAGAATATGTTGGAGAATATTAAAATATCGTAATTGGCAAAATGAAATAAGTAAATCAGCTTTTGAAAGTGGTGTACATTTAGGTGTTGGAGCTTTTAATTTAGTAAGTAATCATATATAAATCAATAATTTGATCGATATTGTAATTCATTGAAGGATCTAGTCATTGAATAATTCATTATGTATTAAATCTATGTCCTTTTTTCATCTAAGAGTAATTGTGCTGCGTTACTTTGTAGAGTTCATAATCGTTTGAGGGTATTGATTGAGTGATTGATTAGCTCGATCTCTACCATTTGGGTTATCGCTCACGTTAGTTTATGAGTTATTCGTCCCACTATCTAAGAGGCACAACGAGGACGTGTGAGTTGGGTTTCGTCTCTCTAGTAAATAATAAGTATGACTAATTATTACATAATATAATTATTGTTCTAATATTCGAATATAAGATGATATACTTGGTGATTATTACGTCACTTTATTGAGATATATGCTACTTATGTTGATAGATATGAGTAGTATGTTCCATCAATAGAAAGTGGAGAATCTAGTAGCAGATGTTTAGGAAGATTGAATAGAAGAGAATGGAACAGAGAGTAATAAATATGGAAATGAATAAACAATAAAGTCAAAAACAAAGGACTATTATTATTATTATTACTATAGTTAATATTTTCCGTATCCAAGAGCTCACTTACTATGCGATATTAACTAGAGTTTCATCAGTTTACCGGTGGTTTCGTCTTTGAAAACCTACTCATTTTGGAGTGTATGTTTTGACTAAATGGATAGATAATCATATAATGTCATTAGTAGTATCTTTAATGATATTGTTTATTCATTGAATTCATGAATCAATTAAAGCTAGACTATCATAGAAAATCTGGAAGCACTGGACGGCTGTTTCGTTCTACTATGGGACTCCACAGCAATCTATATTGATGATCCTGCTCGTGAGATCCGAACTCAAGACCTATCAGTCTGGCGCTTGAACACTTAACCTTTAAACCATTGAACCGACTAGCATCCAATGGTATTAATGTGTAACTTCAACTATTTAATTAGTAAAATCTCCATAGAACCCCTTTCTTGTCAGAAATGGGTTATCTGTTCAAAAATAAATAAAAATTGAATTTATATAATTCTTTATGATCATATTTTTTTTATAGATGATCTCTATGCTTCCTAGACGTGTATTGAAATTATTGGAATTTGTCGGATTCTCCGGAGATCGTGTATGTTATGAATGATATTTTATTGTTCTCTCATTCTTTTTGTAACTTATTGTTAGTTTTCATGAAGTGTATTTCATTGACACCTTTATTTGGATTAAATGATAATCTAAACTGTCCAGATTCCAGCTCAATGATTCTGAAAGAGTTGTTAATGCTCATTACTGTAAAGTTTTATTTTAATATGAAACAACTGTCAGGTTTCCTGTAATTTCAATAGTTGAGATCATGAATCAATTGAAACTAGACCATCGTGGAAGACCTGGAAACACTGAACCGCCGTTTCATCCTAGTATGGGACTCGTCCGTGGCACTGCACATCCACGATCTCGCTTCGCAAGATTCAAACCTAGGATCTATCAATCTGGCGCGCGAGCGATTAACAATTAGATGGATGTGCACTACTGACGAGTCCCACAATAGGACGAAACGACCGTCTAATGCTTCCAAGTTTTCCATAGTGATCTAATTTCAATTGACTCGTGATCTCAACTATTGAAATTACTCTAATCTCCACAAAAATCCCTTTTTCTGTAATTGTTAATAATTTATAAAATGAAGTCAATATGTGACAAAAAGAAAGCTGTCTGAATTGATTGTCATCCTAATTACTGTAATATAATAAAAGAAAATATGAATTATCATTATTGGGTTATGGAGGTTATAAAGTTTTTGATTGAGATCATAAATATCAATTGATATTAGACCAGCAATGAAAACCTGGAAGCACTGAACAGCCGTTTCGTCCTATTATGGGACTCCTCAGAAGTGTGCGTCCACGATCTCGCTCGTGGAATTCAAACATAGGGCCTTCAGTTTTGCGCGCGAACGCTTAACCTACTGGACAACTGAGCCGGCATCCAATGATGTTAATGTCTAACTTCAACCGATCCATGAACTTGCGCTACCATCTTTCATTGTACTGAGGTAGATACCTGTCTCTACCTGACACGGATTAGCTCTGCTGAGGTATCAGACAATAGGACGAAACAGCCATCCAATACTTACAGGTTTTCAAAGGTGGTCTAACATCAATCGGCTCATAATCTCAATCAAAAACTTAACAATCTCCACACCCTCTAAACTGTAAATTATTATTTCGTAGCTAAATAGATCAAAGTTCGTTTCTACGACAAAATAAACTTTGATAATAAAACGGTTTACTTTAATTATTATTAATAAATTGCACTACATTTACATATTTAATGATTACTTACTTACTCTTGTTATCCATGGTGGAGAAGCATAGACCACCAACCAGGATTCTTCATCAAATACAGTCGTGGTTAATTCTTTTCAGTTGTTTCCAATGGCTATTCATCGTTTTGATGCTTGTTTCCAGTTCCTGACGTTGTGTGTTCTTTAGTCAGCCTTTCATTTTTCTATTTCTCTTCAAGATTCACAATTAAGCGTTTACTTTGTCATCCATATCTTATCTACTTTAGGTATATTTGCCTAATTTCTTTTTAAGATGAAAGTTGGTTTATTCTCTTTCATATAGGAATATCGCCTTTTCCTATCATTAATTGTAATATTCTTTATGTTATTTGAAAGATTGAACATATCAAGTAACGCCCCTAAAACATCCCGAGCTACCAACTTTGGGGAAACTCTCGAAGTCAAACGACCTTGACCAATGTTTGGGGTACTTTTGGAAAATTCTATATAGACTTGGTTATATACATTGTGTCGTTATCCGCAAGTGGAATTTTGTAAATCCAACAACCGGAGTGAACACTAAGAATATTGAAGCTATGTGGTTCAGGCTCTATCATGCCCCGAGAGGTCGACTATTATAGAGCCATTTGAAAGAGTTCCTCTACCGTATGCACTACGATTTTAGAATCTCTGAACCTCTCTCAAACCTTGATACGATTTTCAACCATGTAAAAGAAGTATATCCACTTTAATTCTTTAGTTCTGTATAATATAATTTTACACTCTACTATCTGCTTTCTGATTAGCTAATATTTCTCAAGGTCACTTAAGATTCGTTCAAAGGTCGTTCATAAATTATAGTCTTGCCAAGTAAGGCATTCAGTAATAAGATTGTGAAGATTGTTAAGTTTAGATTGATATTATGAATGAATCCATATTAGACCATCATTGAATAGTCACATGCCGGATTGTTGATAAGCACTGTTGAGGAGGTGTCCCATACTAAGACGAAACAACTATCTAATACTTTGAGATTTTCAATGATAGTTTAACATTAATCATTGCTTATTTAAAAGTAAAGATTAATGTTAATCAAATAGTCATTCATAGAATTCTGATTTGTAAGCATCTTATCTTTACTTGAATCATCGCATTGATGTTTAGGACTGCAATTGATCAGTCTCTTTTATGGGCATATGTGCATACTGTGTGTATTGCCTTAATTGACAAGCATTATAAACAAAGATGGATAGTGGCTAGCAGTGGAATCTATAACGTGCGCCACTACATTCTATTTGTGACTTGTCAGATGGATGCAATTGCATCACAGGCTTGTTGATGTTCAGTCTCGGACTCGAACTCAGTACCGTTCACTTCAAATGCCATTACGTTATCCACTTATCTACTGAGCCCTTATAACCACCTGCTTGTACAATGAGGTGAAGTTTAAATTCACTTAGTATTGTTTCACTTGAATCTTCTACTTCAATTAAAGTAAATGACTAAAGGTTACTGAGTAATGTCTTAGGAATGAATCTTTCTCTGAATGTATAGATATATATATCTACGTGAATACCTTAGTTTAACAATTCAAAGCATTAATATACAATATCATCTATCAGGTTGACCTGAATTATTGATTTTTTATAATGAATCGGTATTATTATGATTATAATCATATGATAATAATTGAAATACTCAATGTTGTATATTAAATCAGCATTGACAAATGAACATTATAGTAGTATAGTTTTAATGGTTGAATATATAAGTCAATTCAAAGTATAGACCATCATGGTAAACCTGGAAGCATTGTCGTATATATGGGACTTTTCATTAATATGCATCTACGATCCTGTACGGTAGGATTCGAACCAAGGAACTATTGGTGTAGCTCATGAGCGTTTAATATGTAGACCATTGAATTGATATCCAATGGTGTTAATGTCTAATTTTAGTCGTTCAGGTTTCCATGGTGGTTTAGCTTCAAATTGACTTATGAATTTAACTATTAAATTACTAAAATCTCCACAATACCGTTTACTGATAGTATGATTTATATTATGATGAAAGCAGGCATCGAATACATATGCTCCTTCAACCTGAAGTTCTGATCCAACAGGCAGTGGAAAAACGTAAGGAGATGCAGTCTCATTATAGCCGGTGACCAACAATTGGTTCATACGCCATTTGTTTCCTTAGAATCCTAGAGCCACTGTGTACCACTGGTTTTGAATCAGGGTTTTCCAATTCGTCTAGGTGGATCTTTCATATCTACTAATCCGGTTAAAGCGTCGGACATTTGCCTTTCGTTCTCTCAATCTTGGAAACAACACCCCCGTCACTAGAAGGCAGTGAGAAGGACTTCTCTGTCAGTGGTTATATGCACGTGGCTATGTGGGAGCATTCGGAGAGGGAGAGCTAACGTTCCCAACCCTCAGCCGTATCAGGGCATTTGGGAGCCTCAACATTTGGATTCATAGATGGATTCCACTGGTGTTTTTATTTAGTTTGAAACATTGAAGTATATCCCATTAAGTTATACTTAATAATGATGAGAACATGTTACTCAACTGGCATTAAGTATTATGATAAAGTGAAGTTATTTTATAAGTACTGATCATAATCGTTATGACTTTCTTTGACTGAAATGATCTGTAACATTATTGATTTTTAACAAGTGTGTCGTCCCCGACATCTTCCGTTTTCTTTATGATTATCTTGTAGGGCAAATGCTGTATATTAGGGTATGATTTTCATTAGAGTTATCGTTTTAAGCACTAACTTTTAACACATTTACAGCTTTCATCCTTCATGTTTTTCTGTGCTTCATCAACATGTTTAGTGCAGACACCTGAGAATAACGTTAGACTCTTGAAATACGATGGGTATGACAACTGTTTTTTTACTCAATTCCTACTAATAATGAGTCCGCTTACGTAAATAATGCTAATGAGCACGACAAAGTTACATCGAAACATCACTAGCAGCATTCAGTCATTTATAAAAATATAAGTAGTATAACGCTAGTTATTCTTCGATAATGAGTAAGTCTAGCTGGAAGAACCTTGTGAAGACGAGTTAGGTCAATGTGCAATATTTGTCACAGATTGGTTTCCGTTATCGTAGAACCAGAAACCAGAGAGAGCTGGACAGTTATATGACGTTTGACTGAAATAATGAACCAGTCAATGTGAGCACTCTATGAGAAAGGCAAAATCACTCGGCAGTCTGTATATCGTAGCATGGGACGCCATATCAGTGCAGTTCCACACTTCCGCACACAAAAATCGATTCTGTGACCTTTAGTCTCGAGCGAACTCTTATTCTCTTGCCACTGAGCCATATCCAGCAAAAATCAAACCCACAAATTTTAGTTTATACAACAAGAGGTTAATCATAAGAACCACTGATCCGAGAAATAAATGTACAATTCTGACTTCAACCAGTTTGTGATGAAGCTCATAGATCAAAGATTGCTATTGTCAACACTAGTTTCATCTACGATATGGCTTCATTCCACAAGTAACAAGTTCCCACGAGAAATTTGGGAACATTTTAAAGTTACTAGTGAGATGACCAGTTGTAAGTACACACTGATAATTAGTCGCATACTGAAACGAAATATAACCGTCTTAAGGCTGTCTGGTTTTGAATGCTATCCCAAGTGAAATGTGTGATGAATACAATTGACACATCAACTGGTTTGTTTTATTTGATTGAAATCTTCAAACACACGAAATGTTTTTTTCTTTAATGGGCTGTTACATAGGGAGGCTAAATTTCATAGGACATATTGAATAGTTCTTGGACTTTTGTTCTCTGATTTGGATGGTTTGGTCATGGAACTTTCATCATTCTTCTGAACGACATCATCATCAGCATAAATTTCAGGTAGAAGTGAATGGGTGTGTGTGTGTGTGTATGATTTTGTTGGTGTGGTCGATCAGTTTCATGTTATATCTTGTGACAGGATATCATTTCATTGTGATTACATTACAATTCATTTTCTATGTATTCAGCAATTTGGTTTAGAACAACTTAGAATGGGTGCAGGAATGAAAGATTCATTACGTGGTCCATTATGTGCTCTATTATTATTAGCATATGATTTATATGCTACTCATATGTTAGGTAAGTAGTATTCTGACATAATGTAAAGTCTTATCATTAGTTATATAATATACTTTTGTGGGCCAGGGTAATTTTACATTGGTTTTCAGGAGAACCAGATACCGTCTAGACGTGACAACCCGAACAGTATAGCTCAGTTCCGTTTAACAGGAGAACCAGACACCACTCAGGCTTAAATTTTATAAACCGAGCAGTACAGCACAATCCAGCTCCACAGGGGAACTAGACACCTTATAGCCTTTAACGCTACAATTTGAAAAGTACAGCTCAATCCTGTGGCGCAACCACACAGGTGCCAAGCACCCTGGTGGACCATCTTATTGAATAAGAAAAATAAAATTTGTGTCCCTAATGATAACTAGACAAGTACAATGATGTATCTAATTAAAATAAGCATCGGCATTGGGGAAAAGTTATTGGGTGAGTGAAATAAAGTATTTTAAATGGTTGGATAGGAATCAACCACTAGTTTACATAATAACATAATTGGATGCACTGAAACTAGGTATCTCTGCGCTGAAATTTACTTTCGAATAGTCACATATCCTTATGTATAAAAAATAATGTAAGTAGGTTAGCTAAATTTAAAAAAACGGTCAGTCTGCGATTATTGATACAGAGTTAAAACCTTCATTTGCATATCTACAAAACTATCTCTTCATTTACTTTAATAGACTTTTGCGTATGGTAGTAGTATTCTCGCTCAACTAATTAGAGGAAGACTTTTGACTCTTCAGGATAGAAGGAGAACCTTGCAAAAACAATAGGATTGAAGCATTGAAGAAAGCAAAGTAAACGCACACGTTGCAGTTTACTCTACACGTTTTACGTGCAATTAGGGACTTCCATATATGAAGTGAAGGAGGATGCGTTACAGTTTACAATAGTCTGTAGTGTAGATGGATACGTTATAGTTTACATTTTCCTATCACTTTTGGAATCTTGTAGAGCATCCTAAAAGTGTTAAGAGCTATAATGAATACAATAGTGTGGAATATGGTTCTATCGCAAGTATATGGTGCACATATCTATAGAATCCACATATCATTGATACCTACATCTTATAGTACACAAATTGACATAGGTGAAAGTTGTCTGAAGTATATGATACGTGCATATATAGAATGTATAAATCAAGGCCTATACACTCAATGGTACAGGCATAAGCATAGATGTTCCCTCTCGCAAGTATAAGTAACTCGGCTACATAAATGATCTCAGTCTGTGAATATCAAGTAGTCAAATCAATTCAGAAATAATTCCTCATGGACGATATTTTTATTGTTCATTTATGGACCAATACTATGAGTATACTTTCATTTTATAATTGTTAAATAACTAAACTATTCATATTCATGTCCCTTTTATTATGAGCGTTATTTTGACTTATGAACTATAATTATACGACTTACCATTCTTGAATTATGCCCTGTTGATTAGTCACAGCCTCCCTCATTCACAGCCACATTTGGTTAAATCTTGTACAAAGGTTGTTTCCTATTTTATGGTACGATGTGATCTGTCTAGTTGGTATGCAAGTCCAGTATGTTTGAAATACAGAATTCATATCACCGAGGCTGAGATTGGTGTTGTGGACTCAACAGGTAGGAAGCAGGACCGATAAGTACTCCAAACTGCTCACACGGGTTTATGCGTCATAGGTCCCATCGAAGATTTACTGCTTTCTAATTGGCCGTATCATCACGTTATACATTAACATGGCGCACAGGTCAAAAGTTATAACAAATGCATTGAGATGAAATTAACATGACAAATCACAGATGAGTAGAAGTTATAACATGATCATCATCAGTGATAGGACGGAAACAATATAACTCAAGAAGTAAGAATACATTTATGAAGTACCACGTGTAAAATAATTTTACGACTTAAGATTGGATTTATCCACCCTAATATGATCCATTCCAAGTCTTGTAACTTAACATCTTTTCTTTATCAGTTATGATAATTGTACTGACCTAAATCATATGGTCTACACTTCTGAAACGTAACATACATCTCAACTTCCAACAATTAATACCATAACTTGATCTAGTCACCTTTAGCTTTCTGTCCAATTCATTTCTATATCAGAAAATACTGTGCATTGACTTATTTAATTACGTATGAAGGTAATTTACACAATAGAATAACTTGAACTATATAACTAATTGAAGAACATATAGAACTCAAAACTACTGTCTGTCAACCAATATCAAAGTCACACTCTTCAATTCGAACCTCAAGACAGTTCTACTGTACAGAGCTGAAACCTGGAGAACTAGTACAACCATCATCAAGAAAGTAAAAGTACTTATAAATATTTGTATATGCAAGATACTCAACATCCATTGACCGGATACCAACAGCAACAGCCTTTTGTAGGAGAGAGAACAAATCAACTTCCAACTGAAAAGAAAATTAGGAAAAGTCGTTGAAAATGAATAGGACATACATAACTCAAATCATCAAACTGCATCACGAGAGGCAAGCCCTAAGATGGAATCGTGAAGCGAAGCGGAAAAGAGGAAGGCTAAAGAACATATTACGTTAGGAAATAGAATCAAATATGTAAAGGATGAATAACAACTGGAAAGAGCTAGAAAGGAGTGTCATGACAGAGTTGAATGGAGAGTGCTGGTGAGCGACCTATGCTCCTTCACGAGGAGTAACAGGCGTAAGTAAGTAAGTAACTAAGCAAGTGAGTAAGTATATAGCCAATTTGAAAACCATTTCATTTTAGAATAAGATTATGTTCAAATCAATTATATTTATACAATTTATATATTTGTAGGTGACAGTGTTGTCAGTGTATGTAAGTTGAATTATTTGAATTATAAAGATCTATTTTTTATTTATTGTTTACCTAATATTATATGTGAACCGAGTACACCAATTGGGGGAACTAATCGAATAGATCTGTGATGTATACAGTAAATACTTCATTTCATTCAGTCAATCATCTTAGACTTCATTGTTCATTGGTTTCCACATCAATCATTCTCATTCTGTTCGATCTCTTCAACCTTCTGCCATTAGTCATTTCATTTTTGATTGATGATACTTACTACTTATATCCGTCGATATCAGTAGTACTATTTAAAAAAAATCAAGGATTAAAGAATAAATATCTGATTTTTAGCTTAAGACTTGTTCACAATCTTCAGGAAGGAGATTCAATTGAAATTGATCTAAATTTCAGAGTTATGGATCATATCTTTAAGTGATTGTATAGTATAGTTCAGTTAATAACATTAAACTTTGATTAATTTACAATGAAGCGTGGTCATCATCTATTACCCATCATATTCTACTACTATTCTCTCATGATGTATTTCATTGTTAGGAATCATCCGATACATTTCTCTCATTATTATTATTAGTAGTAGTATGTGCTAAAACTTGGTTTTCTGCTGATCATAATAACTTTTAGAAAGCTTATAGATTAATCCATTTAGGTCGAAGAACATATAGTCATCAAAAGTATCTACCATTTCATCCTTGTATTGATAGTGGCTAGCAGTGCAATCGAGGACGCGCGTTTAGTCCTATTCATGACACTTCAGATGGATGTACCTGCATCACAGACTTGTTGATGTACACTCCGGGACTCGAACGCAGTACCGTCAACTTCAAACGCCATCGCGTTATACACTTATCTACTGAGTCCTGATGGCCACCTGCTTGTACAACGGATGATGTTCAAATTCACTTGATGTTGTTTTGCTTAAGTAAAATCTGAGATGCAGGTACATCCAGCTGGCGAGTCTCAAATAGAACGGAGTGGCGCACGTCCTGAATTTCACTGTTAGCCGCTATCCATCCTTGCTTAAATGGCTTGTGACTTAAGGCTATATCGAGGCAATCCACACAGGATGCGTATATGCCAACATGAGAATGATTAATTACAGTCCTAAAAAAACAATGGGAAGATACAAGTAAAGGAACACGAAGTGAATTATTGTGTTGATTAGTTTATATACTTGCTAAAAACCCAGTTTAATGATATTTTGGTATATGCTACTTATTTCGACAAACATAAGTAATATGTAACACCATTTAAAAATTGAAGCCATAGTAGTAAAAGGTTGAGAAGATCCAGTTGAACAGAATAATAAAGGAAATATAAAGAAATTTTGAATTCGAAGAATCATACAGAATATAAAATACAATTGATAGAAGATTTACAAATGAAGTATTTAATCTATGATTTTTATAGTTTATTGAAGAACTCCATAGTTTTATGTTAAATAGTAAATTGGTTATAAGATGGTGGTTAGAGGTATTCAACAGGAAACTCTTGACCCGGGTTTCATGCTACTTAGCACTCGACATCAAGGTGTGCCTGTAATCTTGAGGTAACTGGTATTCCCTGAGAGATTCCATCCCGTGTCACCCAGATTCAAAGTCAAAAGGCCGGACTTGACACACATGACATTGATCACCATCCAGTGATAACATTTCTGACAGTGAAGCTGGGTGACACGGGATCGAATCCGTCAGAGGGTACCAGTTCCTTTTAGGCTACAGGTACACATAGTCATGTGTATACAATCACTGACAGAGATATTCTACTCATTGCTTTGTTACGGCACCGGTGTTGTTTACAAAATTGAGAGAACAAAAAGCGGATGTCCGGGTTAGTGCAAAAGGAGAAGCCACGTAAGGGAGATCAAAAACCCAAATCCTGAATCATTGATGCACATGGGCTCCAGGATCCTGATAGGACAAATGGCGATAAAACTTATTGTTGATCACCGGCTACCATGGGACTGCATCTTCTTACATTGCTCCACGGCCTTGTGGATTATACCTTTTGATCAAAGACTCGGTGATTGGGCTTTTAATAAAACCACCTACATCGGTCTGAGCACCTGGGCATCATCCCAGCCTTCCTACAAGTCAAATGATTTGTGCCGCATAACTATTTGGTGCGTCAATGTATCAATGTTTATGTGTTAAATAAATAAAAATACATAGAACAATATCATAGAGACCACATAATAATCTTTGGAAATTCAGATATTTGATAATAATAAGTCTGAGCTTTCAGTATATGTCTAGTAAATAACACAATTTCATTCAATAGGTAGAACTGTTCATTGGAAGTTACAAATTTATTTAGACACATAAACACTGGTACAAGGAGGCGCCAAATAGATATGCAACACATAAACAATCCGATTTTTTGAGTTCTCGGATACTACACGGATGTCCAAACCGAAGCAGGTGGTTTTCTTAGGGAGCCACGTCACGAGCCTTCAACATAAAAGTCTAAACCAAAAGGCAGTAGAGCATCGTAATGAGATGCAGTCCCATGTTAGCCGGTGGCTTACGATTTATTCATACGCCATTTGTTCCTTCAGGATACTGGAGCCCATGTGCACTATTGGTTTGGGACCCGGTTAAAGAGCCGGACACTCGCTTTTCGTCCTCTCATTTTTGCAAACAACACCGGTGTCACGAGAAGGCAGTGAGTAGGACTTGCTTGTCAGTCGTTGTATACACATGGCCACTTGAGAGCATTTCGAGAGGAAGAGCTGATTCACCCCACTCTTGGCCGTATCAGAGTATTTGGGGGTGAAAGTTATAAAGATATGATTCATAACAAAATACAATTAGGTAATAATCCTAAATGATAATTATTATTCTTTGTTTTTTGTAAGAATTTGTTTTGTGTAAATGTTATTTATCAAAGCTGATCAATTGTTGTTGCCAACATGTTTGATAAAGCTTTTTGTAACAAAGATTATGAAATGAAAAGAACGTAACAAATTCGTTACATGACTTAATTGTATCGCTGCTGATGTCATTCATTTCACCTCACTCGAATTCGATTTGTCCAAGATCTTATAAGTGATTGGTTAATAATGATGAAGTTACTTGGCTCGAGACTGATAGGTTCTTGGTTCGAATCCCACGAGGCAGGGTCGTGGATGCGCACTGCTGATGAGTCTTACAATGGGACGAAACGGTCATCCAGTGCTTCCAGGATTTTCATGGTGGTCTGGCTGCCATTGACTCATGATTTCAATTATTGAAATTACTTGTATTAATTTATTAAATCATTAAGAGTTAGACAACAATTAGAAACTAGCAAACGATGAGCAGCTGATTCGTCCGAGCAATAAACTCCTCAGTCGTGCACACTTAAAACCTTAAGGAAAATCAAACTCGGTTAGCAGTTTATCATGAGAATATTTAGTTATTATCTCATGGTTTAGTTTTTTAAATCAGTCCTTATATGGTTAAACTTCACAGATTGAGACTACGTATTGGGATACTGAACTCAATCATTAGGGAATCGATGTTCATCATTATTATTATGTTTAGTATTAATATAATAGATTCATAGTTTGATAGACGGAATTATTTAGTTCAAAGAACAAAAATTCCACCGTAATCATCTACTTAAGCTATAAATCTTCTTCACCATACATAGAGATTGATGAATAAAGAATCTCATTAGCTACAAGTTTTACATTAACTTACTTACGCCTGTTACTTTTCATGGAGCATAGGCCGCTGAAAGTTTTACATTAGGTAACAATTTAATCTTGACATTCAACTGAATGATCGTTTTATCATCAAATGATTCTTTAATTATTTCTTTAAGCTTCTGAACAACCAGAACATATGAAAGAAGCACGTGAATTATTAGATCATTGGTCTATTGTATATCCAAATAGTGCTATATTCTTATTATTAGCTGGTCGTTTAGAAGAAATATCAGGAAATTTAAATCAGGTGAATAAATAATTATTCTTTTGATTAATAACCCTTGTATATCACTGTGGATTTCATTTAGTTTAGAGAATAACGATGTAAACTAAGTATATTTCACATTAAGCCATCAAAGTGCTTAGTAACTGTGTTTCCTAACGCCACAAGATTAAACTGTAGTATTCAGATTGTAACGTTAAAGCCTATAAAATGTTTGGTTCTCCTGTAAAACAAGATTGAACTGTACTATTTGAGCTACAAATTTTAAGCCAAAACGATGTTTAACTCTCTTGTTAAACAAGATTGAGCTGTACTGTTTAGATTGTCACATGAAAGTTTAGATGATGTTTGGTTCTCCTGAAAACCAATGTTAAATTACTCTATCCCACAAGGGAGGCTTTGATTGAAATACCTTACAATTTATTGATCAGTAAGTAGTGAACAATTGCAAGTATGTTGAGTCCTTCATAGTGATGATTGGATAGTATTGATCATGTTGTTAGAAATTTTCACTTATACTAGATGGTTTACACTTGATAAAAACATTTGTAGTGTCTGTCATTATGTTAAGCCCAAATACCTTATTATTCTAACTTTCGGACAGCTCATTCTATTCATTCTATTTGAGTCACATTCTGACCTTGTTAATTATTCGCTTATCAATGTCATGACTGTCTTTGTATGAGCGCGTAGGCATATGCACACTTCTTATCCCGTTACTCATCACATGTCTGTAATTTATTTTTGTGAGCTTATAAATATTGATTAACTCTTTGTTAAAGGGAGAGTTGGCTTACCAGCCATCTCCACCGCGCGCCAATTTAGCTTCGCTTTCTCATCTTCGCATCGTTCCTCCGTTCGTTTGTCTAATCAACAATTATGCAAAATATATGCATTCAAAACTCCATTCTCGTTATTTGACTTATTTAATTCCGTTATTAACTAACGCGATTTAAGTCAATGATTATATACGAGGATAGACGATAGCAACCAATCATTACGATCAAATTGGAGTCAGATCACGGGCCACTAAACATTATCCAATCAACTGTTTAACAAGCCTCATGAATTGGATGAATAATAAATTACAATTCAAACTTGATCATTCCATTAGTTGATAATCACTAAGGTTACTAATCAGTATTAGATTCCATTAATCTTTAAATCCTTTTATACAATCTTAAAATAGTACAAACTGATAAACGTTCTAATTGAATGCTTGAATCGATTTCCTCAACTATTTTAATAACTTCAAACTAAATCCACACGCCAATTTGAGCATGAGAAAAAAAAAAGATGGTTTAAAATATGTAAAGAGCATTTCAGATCACTTTTAGGCTTCTGAAAGAATCTGGAATCCCTATTAAACATACTAGCAGGATAAGATAATCATCCAATTAGAAATTCGATACATAATTCTTCATTTTCTAAATGAGAAGGTCCTTCGTTCCGAGTATAAGTGATAAGCGTTTTCAAAACAACAATCAGCGACAACCAGATATAACAAGTAAACATTCAATTCACAAGTTATAGTAATTGACGACGAGGATTTATTTATCTATTTGAATACATTATTACTAGTACAAGAGGGCACCAAATATATATGCGCTACACAAAACAATCAGAATTTGAGAAAAAAAAAGTAAGGAGTGTAAAAAAAAAGAAAAGAACAATAACGATCAGATTAGTGTAAGGTAGTGTAATATTATTGGGGGAAACGGAAAGCTACAACTAGAAGAAATCTTTCAGTTATGGAAGATACAACCACTTTTTATGAAGAAAGTAAAAGAAGATTACAGCAGGATCGCCACTGGCTTCTATTCTGAGCCATATCTCATAACGCCTTTAACCACTGTGTTGCACCATCTCTCGGACCCCAGCCAGGGAGTCGAGAAGGACCAACAGAAGCCAGCCTTTTGCAACGGTTCTTTTCTACCCCGACATCATGTCATTCACTGACAGGGATTTTGGAAAACATTAGTTTCTAAGAAAGTTCTATTCAATACTAATTAGATAAAATGTTTTCTAGTGTTGTTAAGATCCATTTAGGGCTCTTTTTTTTCAAGGAACATTCTAGATCACTTCGACTTATTCAATATTTTCATTATATTAAAGGCTATCACATTATTTCAACATTCAATAAATTCACAATCTGATTGGATACATTATCATCATCTATGTTATTGGGAATTAATATGGTGTTATGCGTAAGTTTATTTGATTCCTTATAAAGAATATGTGAATTGAATAGAAATTGAACTTTCTCTTTTTAAGATGATCATTACTGTGATTACATTTTATCTTTTGATTAATACAGTTCCGTTTAGTGTGAAATGGATAAAAGAAATCTCCCCCACCGCCCCGCCCTGCCCCCTATTTATTATTTACTTTAATCCATCTTTGATCGGATAGTTTTTAATCTACTAGAGGATAAATATTCTTAACAATGAACTACTGAGATTGAAAAAACATTTGAATGGAGTAGATTTTTGATGTTTAGGTTTATATTGCGATCAATCTTTGTTAGAATGTATCAATTGTAAATGTACCTGCATATAAGGATAGAGTGATTCAGTATGGTGAAATATATGTTCTAAATTTTATTGATAAACACAATTATTTGTATCTGTAATAGTTTTTTTATTATATCCCGATGAGAATAATGAATGGTAAGTGTGGGAATCTATTTATGGTCTAATACTATACGTATATTTTGATTGTATGATTGTTAAGTAACTAAATCATTTATATTTATGTCCCTTTTATTATGAGCTCTGTTTTGACCTATGAATTATTATCATATGAATCAATTGAAGCTAGACCATCATGAAAAACCTGGAAACACTGAAAGACATTAACACCGTTGGATACCGACTCAGTGGTCTAATGGTTAAGCGCTCGCTCGTGAGACTGGTAGGTCCTAGGTTCGAATCTCGTGGTGGGCGGGATCGGGGATGAGCATTGCTGAGGAGTCCCATACTAGAGCAAAACGGCCGTCCAGTGCTCCCAAGTTTTCCATGGTGGTTTGGCTTTAATTGACTCATGATTTCAACTAGTGAAATTTCTAAAATCTTCACAAAACCCCTTCTCATATTATTATATCATTTACCATTCTCGAGTTATGCTCTGTCTATCAATTACTACCTCCCACATTCCCAGCCACATTTGTCCAGATCTTGTATAAATGATGTGATCTGTCTAGTTGGTATATAAACCTAATATGTTAAGCTACTTAACTATTAATCAACAAATTGATGAGATTGTATCATAGTGTATAGTAGAAGGATAATGAAATAAAGAGAATATGTTTATGGTTGATAATTTCATTCAGCTTTTTGAACATTCAATAAATGAATTTATTGGTGATAGTCGAGTCAGTCAGCTACAACATAGGACCAGGCCCATATATGCATCGGTCCAAGTTTCCATACCTCATTAGTACAGTAAGATGAACACCGGATTCAGGAAGCAAGTATGATCTAATAGGAGATCGTGAATAGATAACACATTCAATGACATACATGATATTGTAATAATGATAATGATATCTTTATTTATATCCATCTTCTTTGAAATTTGTATCCAAAGTTTGGTAACCTTTGTATTATCGCAAGTTTTGTAATACATAAGGCTATAAAACTTATCGATTTTATGTGCAGTATATAAATTTCAAGCCATTGCCTATTTTTAGAGTAACTCGTTATTGAACTGGAACCAGTATATGGTGCAAACAATTGTCATGAAACTGACTTTATGTTGAAAACAAACTTGATAATCAGTATAGGGGTTATGGAGGTTATTAAGTTTCTGATTGAGATCATGAACCGATTGATGTTAGACCATCGTTGGAAACCTGGAAGCACTGGATAGCCGTTTCGTCCTATTATGGGACTTCTCAGCAGTGTGTATCCACGATCCTGTTCGCGGGATTCGAGACTGAAGGCTCTGGGTTCGAATTCCGCGAGCGAAGTCCTATATTGAGAGAGGAAGCTGTCATTCAGTGCTTCCAGGTTTCCAACGGTGGTCTAACATCAACAAATATTTTGCTTTATGAAGAATTGAATTGATAGAAATCAAGCAAATACTCCTTGGTTAGTAAGCAGTGACCAATATCATGATAATCTTATCCTTAGAATTCTATAGAAACTATCGGATTTCAGAAAAATAGAACACTTCAATTACTGGTTTCAACAAATAGAAACCTAGGTCAATTTGGATCTCCTAAATTATTGCATTCATATATTTATCTTGGAACAAAAAAACTGATCACCTCAAACTGTTGAAAGAAGTACTTTTATTATTATTTATTTGAACACATAAATATTGGTACAAGAGGGCACCAAATATGTATGGGCCACACAAATTTTCATTTTATGTGTGTGAGCTGTGATACTGCTCGGGTGACCAGACCGAAGCAGGTGGTTTTCTTAGGGGGCCACACCCCAAGCCTCTGAACTGAAGGTCTGATCCACAAGGCAGTGGAGCATCGTAAGGAGATGCAGCCCCATGGAAGCCGGTGACCAAGAAATTGGTTCATACGCCATTTGTTCCTTCAAGATACTGGAGCCCATGTGCACCATTTGTTTGGGATCCGGTTATAGCGCCAGATATTCACTTTTTCTCCTCTCATTTTCATAAACAACACCGGTGTCACGAGAAGGTAGTGAGTAGGACTTCCCTGGCAGAGGCTGTATACGCGTGACCGTGTGAGAGCATTTCGAGAGGGAGGGCGGATCTACCACACTTTCAGCCATATCAGGACATTTGGGGAAAAAATTCATTTTATTCATTTATTCCTAAAGTTTATTCATACTAAATATTATGATTTACGGTAACTATTCATTGTATTTCATATTTACAGATTACAAGCAGATTGGCAAAAAGCAATTTTATACACAGAGAAATTAGCATTAGAAAGTCGATGGAGTCAAGCATCTTATAGATATATGAAAGCAGCTTTTCTATTACAAAGTATAGAAGATCGTACTGCATATGAAATGAAAAATCATGATGGTATTATTGAAAAACCACAAGAAGTAGTTGATCAATTATTAACGTAAGTAATTAATATCAAATAGATTCTTTAGTTAAACACATTATTCAATAATTTATAATCTCTCTGATTTAATAAAGATGGATAGTGGTTAACAGTAGATTACAAGACGTGTGTTTCGTCCTATTCAGGTCTCGTCAGTTGAATATACCTATATCTCAGAGTTGATGTTCACTCTGGGATTTGAACTCACTACCGTTCACTTGAAACGTCATCTTGTTATCTATTTAGATACTGAGTAATTTTGTAAACTATATTTCATTTTGTCAATTTTAAATAAATGCTCAATTTAATCTTATATCAATAGTCAAGCTTAGATCAAGTTTTGATTCAAAGTATAGAACATTTTAGAAATGAATAAAATAGTTTATTATCTGATTAGCGAGTTAGTTTATTACGAGATGGGATCGCTAATTCGATGCTTAATCCTTCGCTTTTACACGGACTTGGGACTGGCAGTAACTCTGGAAGAGAGCTATAGGCAGAGTTAATGAATGAAATAGTAACCATCTATTAAAACTATTTAGTTTATAGTTTTATTTTGATAACCTGTTACAAATATATAAAAATCTTTACTGATAACCATTTGAATACAGATAAACTTTAATGATTGTACTCATATTCATGGGATGTAATGGGAATACTATATCTATCCTTATCATTTCTCTTATATTCAACGACTAGTATTAATGTAAACAAAACGATAACATGAAACATCATACTTACTTACTTACGCCTGTTACTTTTCGTGAAGGAGCATAGGCCGCTCATCAGCATTCTTCATTCAACCCTTTTTGTGGACAATCCTTTCCAGCTCTCTCTAGTTGTTATTCATTCTTTTCATATCTGATTCTATTTCCCAAAGTAACGTGTTCATTGGCCTTTCTCTCTTCCGCTTTTCTTCACGATTCCATGTTAGGGCATGCCTCGTGATGCAGTTTGATGGCTTAAGTAATGTATGTCCTATCCATTTCTATTGTTTTTTTCCTAATCTCCTCTTCAGTTGGAAGCTGGTTTGTTCTCTCTCCTACAGAAGGCTGATGCTGATGGTATCCGGCCAATGGATGTTGAATATCATACGTAGACAGCTATTGATAAATACTTGTACCTTCTTGATGGTGGTTGTTGTAGTTCTCCAAGTTTCAGCTCTGTACAGTAGAACTGTCTTGACGTTCGTATTGAAGATTGTGATTTTGATATTGGTTGACAGACAGTTGTTTTGAATTTCATATGTTCTTCAGTTGTAAGAATGCAGCCCTTGCATGAAACATCATGGTAATATATTAATATACTGACTGAATTTAGAATATATATATACGTGGACAGCTTGACAGATGATAGGTAAAACATTAGTTAGTTACTACATTGATTCATTAAATTTTTTGTTGTTGACTTAATAATGTTTTATGGGAGAATCCGAAAACTCTTTAAAATAAAGATAATATTACTACTCACAATTGATCGATCACTAGGTAGTGATCAATGTCATCTATGTCAGATCTTTCTTAGTGTAGATCGAATGGTATCAACCATGTTGCAATGTAGCTACTAGTCTAGGCGACTCTACATTTCGTGCATTATATTGAGATAAGATGGTGGTTTGAGGGTGTCAACAGGAAACCCTGGCCCTAGGTTTTGTGTTATCTGGCACACGTCAGCAAAGTGTACCTGCAATTTTGAGGGAATTGATACTCCCTGATGGATTCATCATCGTGTCACCCAGCTTCATAGTCAGAGATGGTACCATTGAGCTATCCTGGCCGCGACTGACCTCCTGTAGGACTGAGATGTATTTACAATTGATTGATTACTGGGTAGTGACCAATGTCATGTGTGTACATTGTGTTTCACTACTGATAGTGTTATACTTTGGACATGGATCGTATAACACAACAACGACTACATTTGTCTGACCATTTTCTTACAGACCAGATATTAATAACAGTAGTAGATTAACACTTCAAGAATTTCGTCTGCAGCATTGATACATTACAGGCAGGTGTCAAGACTAATGTCTGATGCTATAAACGATCTTATATAGTGAATGAGTACACAAGTGCAAGACAATCGAATGTATTCGAACACACAAATTGCAGAATCTCTTCGTAAAATCTGAGAACTATACAGTCAATACTTCATTTACAAAATGTCAATCAATCGTCTTAAACTTCATTGTTCATTCGTTTCCATATCAATTATTGACTGTTCTCGTTCTCTTTATCTTCGATCGTCTTAAGCTTCTGTCATGTCTAGAGTTTTTGGTTGAGATAAAGTTAATCTAGAAAAGTTTGGGTTATGCATTGTTATCAATTGAAAAAGCTTTTTCCTGATATAATTGATCTTCGAGCATTATCACTAATTAATTGAAGAATACTATTGAATTTTAAAGGAGCCATTTAAAAGTACGAATGTTTTGGATTTTATCACTGAAAAGTTTGTGAATTTGAACTATTACTGATGAATTTTAAAGCGAAATAAAATGTTGATATAGTACTGTGTACTGTTAATTATGCCACTAGAATAGACACTGATTCATACTTGCTGCCAAATGCGCTGATACGGCCGAGAGTCAGCTCTCCATCTCCAAGTGCTCTCACATGGATACGCGTATACAATAACCGACAGGGAAGTCCTACTCACTGCCTTCTCACAGCACCAGTGTTGCTTACGAAATTGTGAGAACAAAAAGTGGATGTCTGGCGCTTTAACCAGGTTAATGCACATGGAGGATCTACCTAAGGGAAATCGAGAACCTTGATCCCAAACCAATGATGCACATTGGCTCCAGAATGCTGATGGAACAAATGGCGAACGAACTTATTGTTGATCACCAGCTACATTGCGACTGCATCTCTTAACGTTGCTCCATTGTCATATGGATTAAACCTTCAGGTCAAAGGATCTAGGAGTGGCCCGCTAATAAAACCACCGGTTTGGGCACGCAGGCGATATCCCAGCCCTCATAGAAATCGAATGATTTATGTGGCGAATATCTATTTGACGCCTCCTTGTACCAATGTTTATGTGTTTAAATAAATTAATAAGATTTATATTGTTAAACACTAGTCAAACTGTATTTTACTTACCATGATATTTCTCTTAAAAATGTAGATATATTTCTTTTGTTTATAGAGATATACCTCATATGATAAAACGTTTCGGTGGTCGATCATTACCAATTGAGAAAATTGCTTTAAGAAAGTCTTCACGTTATTTTGCACAGAATAAAAGATTAACTCTTCCAGCTTTAGTAAGTTTATACTAGAATTTCTTATGTAATCATTACGATAAGTAATAATGTAATGCATTCCATTAGATAGTAGTGTGGTGTCAAGTCAAGTTTGACTATGATCACCAATACAAAAAGACTACGTGCCAGTTAACTGATAAGATCTCCCGTAGACCAAATATCAGAAGGCAGTTGATAGCTGTTGACGATCTCGTGGTATCGAAAGAATATCGAGATCGTGACATGTTACAAGTGGGGTTACTGAACGTAACCGAACTCGTGCAAGGTTACAATCAACGGAAGAAAGTATATGTTTTGGTACAATTAAACAAACAATTGCAGTAAAACAATCCCTGGTACAATTGGTTATAATAATAATTGTTTGGATTATGCCAATTGCGTTCTCATGATAAAAGTAGGTCACTACAAGATCTTATCTGAACAGTCATTGTGATGACTTGTATTTAGTAATATATTATTTATTTATTTATGTTAACACATAGATATCGGTACAAGAAGGCACCAAATACATATGCACCACACAGATCTCATTTCATATGTGTGAGGGTTGTGATACTGCCCGGGTGCCCAAACCGAAGCAGGTGGTTTTCTTAGGGCGCCACACCCCGAGCCTTTGACCTGAAGATCTGATCCACAAGGCAGTGGAGTATCGTAAGGAGATGCAGTCCCATGGTAGCCGGTGACCAACGATTGGTTCATACGCCATTTGTTCCCGCAGGATACTGGAGCCCATGTGCCATATGAGAGCATTTCGAGAAGGGGAGCGGACTCCCCCCACTCTCGGCCATACCAGGGCATTTGGGGCATCTAGTAATATATTTCCGATTCATATAGGAAATGAATATGCATTACTGAAGAGTCCAATCCTAGGACAAAACTTCTATCCAGTGTTTAAAAGTTTTCAGTGGTACTGACCTAACATTGATTAGTTTATGATCTCAATCAATAGTTGCCTGTATTTTTATAATACAGTTCATGTTGTATTAGGGATACTAAAAGTATGACTAATAATGAAACGAGATAAATTTTCCGATAAATACTAATCACTAAGCTTCTCATATTGTGTATAGTTCGAAAAAACTATCGTTCATGATGAATCTCTTATCGTTATTTAAACACTACGACTCATATTAATTTACTTAATAGTTATATTTCATCCCTTTCTATATAGATATCTATATCTAGTTCTTTAAATATAATCTAAGTAACATTTAAACACTTGTTATGTAATGTAATAAGTGTTGAAATGACTCCAGCAGTATAACACCGTTGGGAACGTTAGATTCCCAGAACTCACTTGGAAAACGACTTAAGTTTGTTATTTTATTTAGAAAGTTTGAAGCGGGAGCGTGGATGCGCACTGCTGAGGAGTCCCATACTAGGACGAAACGGCCGTCCAGTGCTTCCAGGTTTTCCATGGTGGTCTAGCTTCAATCGATTCATGATTTCAACCAGTGAAAATTTGAATTTCTTTGTTTTCGCACCAAAAGCACTCTTGTCATCTTCATGTCGTATTTCCCACTTGGGAAACATCTTAAATGCTATTGGTCCATTATGTCTTTTAGTATGCTATTTGGTAACTCTATCCAAAGATGGTTTTGTACTGTATATATAAATACGTTTTGATTTGTGTTTGTTGTTATCGTTCGTTTCTGGCTATTTGCAGAAAATACTTCCTCTTTACAAGCTTGAACTTCTTCTTCTAGTTAGCGGAGCTGGGACACATCAGAATAGGTAGCTTATTGGTTTTTGGTCACCAAGTCTTTGTTCTCGTTCACAGATAAACTGAACTCGTGATAGATTCAAACCTAGTAGATACATTCAAATGTCACATATGATACACTTATGATACCTTTTTTATAAGGTGAAACTTGTTATGTGGTTCGAATGATAACTGTTGGAGTCTATTACTGAACTAATTTGATACATGTATTTTAATTGTATAATCTTTAAGTAACCAAACTATGCATATTCATATTCCTTTTATTTTAAGCATTATTTTGACCCAAAGACGATTTACCTTTCTTGAGTTACGACTAGTCTATATAATTACAGTCTTCCACATTCACAACCACTTTTGGCTACATCTTGTACAAATATGTATTTTCTATTTTACAGTACAGTATAGTCTGTTTGGTTTGTATATAAACACAGTAGGTTTTAAATACATGATTCATATTGTGGATGCTGAGATTGATGTTCTGGACTTAACGGGCATGCAAGGCTAGGGAGGGAGAAGAACCGATAAAGAATTTAGACTGCTCCTATGACTTTATACATCATTGGTTCGGTCGATAAGTTAGTATTCTTTAATTGGCGGTATGATGATGTGATATACTAATTGAGCATAATGCCACAAGTTAAAACATTGTAAAAACTTATTTTCAACACAATTATTCTACTTATTTCAATTGTTGAGATTATAAGTCCATTGAAGCTAGACCACCATAGAAAACTTGGAAGCACTGTAGGGCCGTTTCGTGCTATTGTGGGAACTGCTCAGCAGTGATCATCCACAATCCCTTCTCCCAGGATTCAAACCCATTGTCATCAGTGAGTTAATATCTCACAACTGAACCGGTTGGATGTGTCGTTCAATTTCATGGATAAGTTGAAGTTAGACATTAACACCGTTGGATGCTGGCTCAATGGTCTAGTGGTTAAGTGCTCTCACGGGAGGTGAGATAATGAATGCGCACTGCTGAGAAGTCCCCAAAATAGGACGAAATAGCCGTCCAGTGCTTCCAGGTTTTCCATTGTGGTCTAGCTTTAATTGACTCATGATCTCAACAATTGAAATAAATAAAATCTCCACAAAACCACTTTCTGATATTCTACTTATTTCTTTATTTAAGTAATAAAATATTTATAATGAATTAATAGGTATGTCATTTATGCTTTTATTGAACACAGGAACTTATATTCATTTGGAATGGATTCAAAATGATTCAATCACAACCAGATGCTATAACAGCATTTATTATGATATGTGAGAATAAAATCAATGAATTATTTCAAAATAGAGGTGAGATATACACCATATGATGATTTTTCTCTTTTTACATCCAGCTGACGACTCCCAAATAGGACGAAGTGATACGCGTCCTGGATTCCATTGCTAGCCACTATCTATCTTTGCTCATAAGCCTTGTGACTTAAGACAATATCTAGATAGTCCGTACAGAATGCACATATACTAATAGGAGACTGATCAATCGCAACAATGGGAAGCTACAAGCAAGCAATACTAAATGAATGAGATCATGAACCAATTGATGTTAGACCACCATTGAAAACCTAGAAGCACTGGAAGGCTGCTTCATCTTATTGTCGGGTCCTTCAGCAGTGCGCACCCACGATCCTGCTCTCCGGATTCGAACCCAAGGCCTTCAGGCTCGTACGTGAACGCTTAACCTACTGGAACACTGAGCCGGCCGTCTAGTGCTTCCAGGTTTTCAATGGTGGTCTAACATCAATCGGTTCATGATCTCAATCAAAAACAATCTCCACAAGTCGTAAACTAATAAATACCAAATGAATTAGACGGAATAGTAGTTTAGATGAGATTACAAACTCTGTCAGTGGAAAAATACTAAATAGTTAAAAGTGTATCAAAAGCTAAATTTCTTCAGTTTTGATTTCTTTCATTGAATTTAAACGAAATATTTTTGCAATGGTTAAGATCATGGGTCAGTTGAAGCTTAACCACCATGGGAAACCTGAAAGCACTGGACGACTGTTTCATCCCATTGTGGGACTCCTCAGCACTGCGCATCCACGACCTCACCTCCTGCGAGATTCGAACAGAGGACCTACTGATTTTGAGCGCGAGCACTTAACCAGTAGACCACTAAGCATCTGACGGTGTTAATGTCTAGCTTCAACTAATCTACGAAATTGAGCGACACATCCATATATCTTTTGTAAAATAACCCATAGTTCATTACATGTATACACTTTTATTGGCGGTTATATGTGTAAGGATAGTAAATTAAGACAAGGTGATATGAACCCTAGTTAAATATTACAAGATTAAATATAACATATGAATTTCAACTCTTCAATATAATGAAGAATCCTTCTGTTCATTGTTAAAGTTCTTATCTCCAGACCTTTAGGAGATAAAGTACCCTAATGTTTCCAATTACTGCTTATACATTTACTACCTCTATCACTGTGAGATTTGAATCGACAATTGTATCCGTGTGCTAATGTGGTATGGCAACTCAAACTGATGTACGTACGTACAAAGTTTTACATTGTTACTGACTAACTGAGGAGATCAAGTTAAAAAATGCATAGATTACATGAAGAGAGACATATATTGAAATATTATCTAGTTCCTATACTAGTTGATCACTGAATAGTAATAAGAGTCCAGTTTGGGTGACTTAACTTAACATGTATTATGTTTTACTGTTTATTGATTAGACGTACTCAATAGGAAATCTTAGATTTATAGTTCGTACTAGCTGGAGCTGGATAAAAAGGTATCACTATGACTAGTGATCACATTGTAACTGAACTGATTAAATTCGATTAGAACTAAAGATTAGACAATTATCATATCGGTCACTATTCAGTTGTAAGTATTTGAATCTTAATATAGGTGATTAGAAGTCTTAATTGTTGAAAACTTACGTGTAAAACAATGAGGTTCAATGAAACATGCTTGAATCCTATGAAGAGTGCTAGTTACCTGAATATCAACATTTGCCAACTAGCACGAAACTCTAAGTCGTTTAGCTTATCTGATTTGTAGTGGAATAGTTCACATTGATAATTTAATTACATGTATTCTTCCCTTCCATTCCCTTCCCTTCCCTTCTATCTATCCTGTTTATGTTTATGTTTAGATACAAGCGAAACATTTTATGATGATTATTGTTTAGCTTTAATGCTTAAAGGAGTTTGTCTTAGATGTCGTGGTCAAACATTTCAAGCTTATATGTGTTTCACTGAAATAATACAATCGTAAGTGTTATGTAATCTAATTTATAATGAAATAGATTTCATTATTTTTAAATAACATTGAATATTGATATAAACAGATATATTATTCATATGTAAGGAACCAATATTATGAATTGGATTCCTGGATGATGGAGTTGAGGATGCGCATTACTGAGGACTTAGATGCTGGTTGAAGGTAGTTGACAGGAAACTCTGGACCCGGGTTTCATGCTACTTGGCACTGATCAGTAAGGTGTACCTGTAATTTTTGAGGGAACTGGTGCTCCCTGGCGGATTCGATCCCATGTTACTCAGCTTCACATTCGTTAGCATTCGATCTGTACTAATAATAAGGACTAGACAAGCATGACATTGGTCACCACCCAGTGATCAATCAATTGTGATTACATCTCACTCCTACAGGTGGTCGGTCGCGGCCAGAATAGCTCAATGGTACTATCTCTGACTGTGAAGCTGAGTGACACGGGATCGAATCCGCCAGGGAGCACCAGTTCCCTCAAAGATTACAGGTACACCTTGCTGACGAGTGTCAAGTAGCACGAAACCCTAGTCCAGGGTTTCCTGTCAACTACCTCCAACCACCATCTAATCTCACAATAGTGCCCGCAGTGTCAAGTTACCTACACTAGTGGCCACATTGCAACATGGTCGATAGCATTCGATCTGTACTAATAATAAGGACTAGATATGCATGACATCGGTCACCACCCAGTGATCAATCAATTGTGATTACTGAGGAGTCTCATAATGGGAAAATAAATGCTCAACCACTCCAAACAAGATCGGTTTACGATTCGAACTATGGTAATTTTATGTTTGTTTAGTTGTTAGTACTAGTCATTGTAGCAGAAGCAGTAGGTCTCAATATACACAAAAGGGAAAAGCAAGATTCTTCGATAGAACCCAGCATACAGCAATTGAATGACACTTGACGGAGAAGATTTGGAAGGTGTAAAAACCTGTATATATTTGGGCAGCATCATTGATGAACATGGTGGTTCTGATGCCTATGCTCCATTGGGAGTAACAGGCGTAAGTAAGTCCTAGTCATTATTGTCCGATATGGTTATGATGAGGTCACTGATTAAAATGAGTTGAGATCATGTAAACTATCATTGAATGATAGCATCGTTGATGCGATCATCAGAATTCCTTGGATCTAGATTTTTGCACAAGTTAATATTCAGCAGTATATAATATCCTAACAAAGTCAATGTGACACAATTTGTGGATGGTTCAAATTACATCAGCAATAATAGTTAACTTTAAATTTAACAGATGTTCTGATAGTGAGTGTCAAATATTACGAAACCTACTTCCCTAAACAGCTTTTGATGGATCATCTTTAATTATACAACAAGTGGACTGAGCCATGTTGGTAGGTGTAGACTAACTGGTTGGGATTCGCGAGACGATAACAACCGATGGTTAGAGACCTTGAATGACAGCTCAAAATCGTTTGCACTTGCGTAGGTGCATCCACTCTTTGTGTTCTCTCAAATTCTAATCTTCTTAATTCTTCATGTCCCTTTCTTTTTTCTCTTTCCAAATTTACTTCACTGGATTATACTCCTTGAATAACATCTTCAAACCCTAACCTTTCCGATTACTGCTTATACTCTTACTAGCTCTACCGCTACTGGATTTGAATCGACAACTGCATCTCTGTGCTAATGTGGTATGGCAACTCGAACTGATGTACGTACGTACGTACGAAGTTCTACATTGTTGCTGACTGACTGATTTAACCTCAGATATGTGCTAATGGTTTTTTTTAGCGATTTAGTTCTTTACGGGATGAGGTCGCTAACCCAATGCCCGACCCTCCTTCTTTATACGAGCTTGGGACTAGCAGTAGCCCGCGGAGAGGCTCCAGGAGGAGTTTAATGGTCTTTTAATAGTGTTTACTTTTGTAATGAATTTTTATACACTAACATTAGCTGAACAATTATTGTAAACTAATATACATCAAATAGGTATTTCCCATATAGAATAGAATCATGTATCATTATGTTACTCTATAGAGCAATACTATGAAATGATTTTGATGGAGTTTCTCCTCTAAGCTAAATGATTTGGTCGTGAAGAGATAATATCCACAATCAAATCATCTAGCATAAAAGATAAAACTCGATCAAAGTCATCCACCTAAGCTACACATCTTCATCATCATCATCATCTCAAGTGTATCCGAATTCATTTATTATTATGATTATTATTTTGTTTAGTAAACGAAAATTAAAAATGGACACATATCTATTACCATATTGTGAAATGGAATTATGTCATTTATCATATGAAGAAGGAGAAATTGATGAAGCAGTAAAACATTTAGAAAAAGCATTGTAAGTTTAATAATATATTTGTATATGCCTATTAATAATTCAATAATCTATCATCATCCATTTTTCATTTGACTTGAAAATCTAAGTTAATATAAACTTTTATGTCTACTGCCCCCCCCCTCCTAACCCAATTATTACGTCATCTTGTTTAATATTTGAAATCTCTAATCAATTTATGAAGCGATTTTATTCTCTTAGTTTAAGGGAAGACAGAGAGTGTATACATCGATGCCATTGTGATCGATTCTGAAACATATCACCAAAAGTCTCCTAATCATTGGTTGCGATAGTCAAGCGAACTCGAACCAAGAAGTCTGAATCTACCAACATGGCTCAGACCAGAAGTTAGTGACTTTATAGGACAATGTCAAGTTTTGGATTGACCGCCGGTAACTTTCTTCCAACCATCCCCAACACCGGTTAGCAATGCACGTCGTAATAATCGGTGTTCAAGCATACGTAACAGGTGGCCCAACCATCTCAGTCGATGAAGATTTACAATCTCATTAACTGATTTATCATCATCCCCTAATACCCTACGTTTTTCCTCACTATTACTTACCCGGTGATCCCAGCAGATGTTGGCAATATTTCTATGGCATCTGTGATCAAATACTAGTAGCTTACGATTATCTTCCACTCCTAATGGTCATGTTTTGCAGAACATTATCTTAGAATTAAAACGTTTTCCTTCAGTTATTGAATAGTAGTTCAATAATATATATTCTACACTTCGTAGGATTATGGAACAATTGTTTAGTAACATATATGATTCGTTATAGTAACTATTGATCCAACTGATCCCACAAGTTAATAGTTTTGTGTGAACTGAAAGGCCTTGATGATATTTCAAATGATTTAAGACGGTAATATAATACAATAAGGAGGGTTTTTTGAATTGGTAGACCAATAGGTGAGATTTCACTTTCGAGCAATGTTTTCTTTTTTAACTTATGATGATTTCAATTGTTATTTATTTGGACACATAAATATCGGTAAAAGAAGGCACGGAATAAATGTGCCCTACAAAAGTCACTTGATTCGTGTGTGAGATATAATACTGCATGGTTGCCTAAAACGAAGCAGATGGTTTTTTAGGGGGCCTTTGACCTACAGATTTAATCCGCAAGACAGTGGAGCAACTTAAGGAAATGCAGTCTCATGGTAGTCTGTGACCAACGATTGGTTCATACGCCATTTGTTCCATCAAGATTCTGGAGCCCATGTGCACCATTGGCTTGACATCAGGGGTTCAAGACTCCCCTAGGTGAATTATCGATATCCACCAACTCCGTTAAAACGCCAGACATTCGCTTTTCGTCCTCACAATTTGGTAAACAACAAGGGTGCCGCGAGAAGGCAGTGAGTAGAACTTCCTTGTCAGTGTTTGTATACGCGTGATCATGTGAGAGCATTTGGAGAATGAAAGCTGACTCTTTCCACTCTCAACCGTATCAGGACATTCGGGAGCGATGAATTTAATTGTATAATAAGGTACTAGTCAAGTTTGTCTTATATTGTTCCTACTCGCTGCCTTTTCACTTTTTTGTATATTGTTTTATACTATTTATTTTTATTCAGTAAGCAGGTGTGTACCCAACAATTTTTACACTTATGTTGTAATGCAACTTATAGTGTTATATTCTGATATGTTCACATATACTTATAACGTTTATTGTACTTATCATAGTATTTATCATTATAATTACTGTCCCTTAATCACTATAGCGGTTATCCACACTTTTGTGCATTTGTTTAAACGCAACAGTTTCCATATTGTTTTGCTCTTGGTTCAGGTTTCGGTTGTTCATAAAAACTTATCAAATTTAGATACAGCTATCAGCTGTCCTTTATACTATCGAAGCCTTTTTATCTTTATACTTGAAGGACGCGTTTAAACGCCACAGACACCTCACAAGTTGAGGTATGTAACTAAATTTTGTGTATTTTTCTACAAAAGAACCGTACTTACTTACTTACTTACGCCTGTTACTCCCAATGGAGCATAGGCCGCCGACCAGCATTCTCCAACCCACTCTGTCCTGGGCCTTCTTTTCAAGTTCCATCCAATTCTTGTTCATTTTTCTCATATCTATCTCCATTTCTCGGCGTAATGTATTCTTTGGTCTTCCTCTCTTCCTTCGACCTTGAGGGTTCCATATGAGGGCTTGTCTTGTGACGCAGTTCGGTGCTTTCCTCAATGTGTGTCCTATCCACTTCCAGCGCTTCTTCCTGATTTCTTCCTCCACTGGGATCTGATTTGTTCTCTCCCACAGTAGGTTGTTGCTAATAGTGTCCGGCCAACGGATCCGAAGTATTTTGCGTAGACAACTGTTAATAAACACCTGTATCTTTTGGACGATGGATTTCGTAGTTCTCCAGGTTTCCGCGCCATACAGTAGAACTGTCTTGACATTTGTATTGAAAATTCTGACTTTGGTGTTGGTTGCTAATTGTTTTGAGTCCCAGATATTCTTCAGTTGTAGATATGCTGCTCTTGCTTTGCCAATCCGTGCCTTCACATCTGCATCAGATCCACCGTGTTCATCGATGATACTGCCCAAATATGTAAAGGTTTTTACATCTTCCAAATCTTCTCCGTCGATTGTGATTGGATTGGTACATGCTGTGTTGTATCGAAGAATCTTGCTTTTCCCTTTGTGTATATTGAGACCTATTGCTGCTGAGGCTGCAGCTACACTGGTTGTCTTCTCCTGCATTTGTTGTTGTGTATGCGATAGAAGAGCCAGATCATCTGCGAAGTCTAGATCATCCAATTGCATCCTAGCTATCCACTGTATCCCGTGCTTCCCTTCAGATGTTGATGTCTTCATGATCCAGTCGATCACTAGGAGAAAGAGAAAGGGTGAGAGTAAGCAACCTTGCCTAACACCGGTCTTTACTTCGAACGACTTTGTCAACTGTCCTCCATGCACGATTTTGCAGTTTAATCCATCATAGAAATTCTGTATGATATTGACTATCTTCTCAGGCACGCCGTAGTGTCGAAGAAGCTTCCATAGGGTTGTTCTGTCCACGCTATCAAATGCTTTTTCGTAGTCGATGAAGTTGATATAGAGTGATGAATTCCATTCAATTGATTGTTCCACAATGATCCGTAGAGTTGCGATTTGGTCTGTGCACGATCTATCCTTACGGAATCCTGCCTGTTGGTCTCGAAGTTGGGCGTCTACGGAGTCCTTCATCCTGTTTAACAATACCCTGTTGAAGACTTTTCCCGGTATTGAAAGAAGAGTGATTCCCCTGTAGTTGTCACAGTTGCTGAGATCGCCTTTCTTTGGTATTTTGACTAGAAGTCCTTCTTTCCAGTCTTTTGGTACCTGTTCCTCATCCCAGATCTTTTTGAAGAGAGTTTGGAGTATCCTTGCAGTTGCCGTTACGTCTGCTTTCAGTGCCTCTGCTGGAATGCTGTCTAGTCCTGCTGCTTTGCCACTCTTGATTTGTCTGATAGCCATGCTGATTTCTTCAATTGTCGGTGCGCCAACATCAATTGGGAGGTCCGTGAGTGCTGCTTCGATGTTGGGTGGGTTCAGTGGGGCTGGTCGATTCAAGAGTTCTTTGAAGTGTTCTACCCACCTGTTTCGTTGTTCTTCAATGTTGGTGATTATCTTGCCTTCCTTGCTTTTCACTGGTCGTTCTGGTTTACGGTGATTTCCGGAGAGTTTCTTTGTTGTTTCATACAGTTGTCTCATGTTTCCTTCTCTGGCAGCCTTTTCCGTCGTCATTGCCAAATCTTCCACATATTTACGTTTGTCGGTTCTGATGCTCCTTTTCACTTGCTTGTTTACTTCTGTGTATTCAGCCTGTGCCTTGACTTTTTCTGCTCTTGTTCGACTGGTATTGATTGCTACTTTCTTGTTCCTCCTTTCTTGAATCTTATCCAGTGTATCGACCGTGATCCAATCCTTGTGATGGTGCTTCTTTTGGCCCAGAACCTCATGACATGTTGAAGTGATTGCCTCTTTTATCTCTTTCCAGTTGCTCTCCATAGTAGTTCCTTCTCCATTGAGTAGATCATGAAAGGCTTGGAACTTATTGCTGAGGGTTATCTTGAATTTATTGAGTTTGTCATTATCCCGAAGAAGAGCCGTATTAAATTTTTGTGATATTGTCCTCCCCGTTGTCCAGTGCCTCTTGAGTTTCAATTTCATCTTGGCGACCAGCAAGTGATGATCTGATGCTATATCAGCTCCTCTCTTTGTTCTCACGTCCTCCATCGTCCTCCTGAACTTTTTGTTCATGCAGATATGGTCGATTTGGTTCTGTGTGGTGTGATCCGGTGAAGTCCATGTGGTTTTGTGTATGCGTTTATGTGGGAATATAGTGCCGCCTATGACCAGTTTATTGAAGGCACATAGATTTGCAAATCTCTCACCATTTTCGTTCCTTTCTCCCAGTCCGTGTCGTCCCATGATCTCTTCATATCCGGTGTTGTCAATTCCAACCTTGGCATTTAGGTCTCCCATCAGAATAGTCAGGTCTTTTGTTGGGCACTTCTCGACGATTGACTGCAGCCTATCGTAGAATTGATCTTTAGCGTCTTCATTGTAGTCATTGGTAGGCGCGTAGCATTGGATGACGTTCATTGTAATCCCTGTTTTCTTTGTTTTGAAGGAGGCTTTGATGATCCTTGGTCCATGAGATTCCCATCCTATAAGTGCATTTTGTGCTTGTTTGGACAGCATCAATGCAACTCCTTGTGTATGTGGAGCATTTTCTTGTTCATGTCCGGAGTATAACAGCAGCTCCCCTGAAGCTAGTCGTTGTTGTCCAACTTGCGTCCAATGTGTTTCACTGATCCGAAGCACCTCTAAATTGTATCTCCTCATTTCTGCAGCAATTTGGAAAACTCTCCCAGTCTCCCACATTGTGCGAGCATTCCATGTACCTAAATAAATGGTTGCTCTGGTTGTCAGAAGGGGCATCGGCCTCGTGACTTCCGAAGAAACTCGGCTTTCATCATGAGGCGTCATAATTCTTCTAAACGAAGACCTCCTGACTCCCAGGGAAGAGTTTAAATGGTTTGAATAATTTTTTCTGGTTAGCGTTTTTCTAGCGAGTTAGTTTTCTACGGGATGGGGTCGCTAACCCCATGCCCAACCCTCCTCCTTTATCCGGGCTTGGGACCGGCAGTAGCCCCCGGAAAGGGACTCCAGGCGGAGTTACAAAAGAACCGTTATTGTAGACAAATTGTTGTTTTACGAACTTCGGTTTTGCTACTAGATCTGAATCGGGTGACCTGGACGCTTCGATAGAGCTAAAAGTACTTGGATATCGTCCTTGAAATATCATTAATGTGATCAATTAGAATAAAAATAAAGCTACCTGTAATTTCATTGATCTATTACTAATTACAGTTTCAATAGTGACTGCTCCCAAATGCCCTGTTACGGAGAGTCCGCTCTCCCTCTCGAAATACTCTTACATGGCCACTCGTATAGAGCCTCTGCCAGGGAAGTCTTACTCACTGCCTTCAAGTGACACTGGCGTTGTTTACGAAAATGACAGAACGAAAAGCGAATTTCCGGCGCTTTAACCGGATCCCAAACCAATAGTACACATGGGCTCCAGTATCCTGAAGGAACAAATGGCTTATGAACCAATGGTTGGTCACCGGCTACCATAGGACTGCAACTCCTTACGATGCTCCACTACCTTGTGGATTAGACCTGTAGGTCAAAGGCTCGGGGCGTGGCTCTCTAAGAAAACCACCTGCTTCGGTTTGGGCACCCGGGCAATATCACAGCCCTCACACACATCAAATGAGATTTGTGTGGTGCATATGTATTTGGTGCCTCTTTGTATCAATATCTATGTGTTAAAACAAATAAATGATAATAATAATAATAAATAGCGTAAATCTAACTTGTAACCCTAACTATCAACTGTAAATCATAATTATAATCCCTCATATTAGCTTATAACCCACATTTAACCTTAGTAAGTAGGTAAACACTCTCAAGGTTACTTAAGCATCTCTCAAAAGTTGTTCATAAATGATAATCTTATCTAGTTGATACTTATGTTTCTTATTTTATTGTTCCGTTGTATAATTTAAACTTGGATCAATTTTAATTTGATTATTTGTTGTTGCTCTGAAGAAGTAACTTAAACAAAGTTACGAAACATCAGATAATCTAATTAATCTATACATTAAGATATATCTACAAATATATATATATATATATGTATATGTATATACTTAATTGATTTATAAATTTTTAGAAGTTATAAAAATTATCATTTAGAATCAAGATTACATTTTCGTATTCATGAAATGGATACACGACTGAAAGAGAATAAACGTAAATTATCCAGTGTTACAATACATCAAGATGAAAAACAAACTTCAATAATGAAAAAATCTGGCAGTGAATACTTCCTTACATCATCAAGTATTTTTTCTAATAATACTGATAATAAATCAATATCATCATTTAAATCAATTGATATTCCTGGAAATTATTCATTATTAACATCAACATCTGAATCATTAACAGTACCGTCATCATCATTATCATCATCATCATCAACAACAATAACAACAACAACAACAACAACAACTGGAGTAAAAGGTGCTTTATCAGCAAGAAATTTAATGCATACAAAAAATAGTAGTATTGAAACATTATCATTATCATCTGATGCTAGACGTTTATTTGATGAAGATGATTTAGATGATGATGATGATGAGGAAACATTCATTATGGATTATATACAAGATGAATAGATTGACTGGAAATATGATTTTACTATAGTAAGTTATTGAGTGTTTATCTTTAACTAAGAGAGTAAATAGAGATTTTACATCATATATTATGAGAATAACCTAAGTTAGCCGACCATCGTATAATAGGAAGTAGTGAACAATTGTTGTATATTAGTATGAAACCGAAAAACAGTTCACCTTCATGACTAATATCCTACATTGAATCTAAAATTTGAGGACTTCATATTGAGTGTTTAACTATTAGATCACGTAGCCGATATCCAATCACTTAAATTTTTAACTTTACTTGATTCACGATATTACACAACTATCATCTTCCAATGATATTGGTAGGTAACTATTGCATATCTGAAATGGTTGGATTCCATTTGTATTAGGACGGTGAGAAGTACCTCTCGAAATTAGTCACTAGTGAAGATATAACCAATGTAGTGGATTTGTTCTTTCTAATTTTTGATGATTTGCTTGCTAATATTATTCTTTAATATACCCTACAATTGAAGAGGAAAACGTTATACCTAAGAGGCTAATATCCATGCGTACGATTTAGAATTTTATTACTGTATTTGACTGTCAACTTTGAGAACCATTAGAAGCGTGAGTCAATGATGCCAAACGAGATTGAGGTGGAGACACTCAAGTATTTGAAGTTTGACGGTTAAGCATTATTAGCAAAGATGGATAGTGTCTAGCAGTGGAATCCAGGACGCGCGTTTCGTCCTATTTGGGACTGGTCAGCTGGATGTACCTGCATCTCAGAGTTGATGTTCACTCTGGGACTCGAACCCACTACCGTCCGCTTCAAACGCCATCGCGTTATCCACTTAGCTACTGATCAATTGCAGCCCTAAACATCAATGGGAAGATTCAAATAAAACAATATCAAGTGGTATTGACGGTTAAGGGTTGTAGGTGCTTATTGTCGTATAGTCAAATTGGAGTATACTGTGTCTAGCATAAGATGACTATAGTTCTAGATGTAGCCATCATGCTGGTTCTTTGTAAAATAAAAACCCATATCACTAAGTGACTTAGTCAAAGATACTAACATTGAACTATTTAAGATATTTTCTTATTTAAAATCATAAATTGGTATTAGCCGAACCACCGTTGAATACTTGAAAGAGATAGACGACCACCTGATCATAGTACGGCACTCCTCAGTAGTATGTACCCATGACAATTCAAAGTCCATGCGCGGACGTTGAACCTATAGGCTACTAAGCCAGTATCCAATGGTGTTACTGTCTAACTCAAATCACTTCATAATATTCCGCGACTATCTTTTATTACCTGTAATGAATAACCGTATCACATTCGGTATGGTTGAACTCTACTGGTCACTGCTTCTTACTAGAATTTCAGGAGTTTCATCTTGAAGCTAGAACCTATTGAGGGATTTGTGAAGATTGTAGACTTATCATAGTTTTAAACACTATATGATCTTAATCAAACCCTCATTTATAAACTACAAGCACAGAATATGTGTTTCGTCCTAGTATGGTGAGGGTGGGTGGGCTCCTCAACAATACGCTTCGACAATCTTCAATGCACAACCAACCATAGTAACACTTAACTTTGTCACATTTATATAATATTAAACATAATAATTTTCTAATCAACTATTCTATCTTATTACAGATTTACTCATTATATACATTGTATAACAAAACAATTATCCTGAAATAAAAAAGAAAAGAATTAAGAAGAAATTTTGTTTATTTGTTTTTTTTTTGGACAAACCCCCTCCCCCCCAAAAAAAAGAAATATTAAGAATACAAAATCCAATAAAATTCCATTTCATGCACAATTATTATTGTTTTCTTTTTTTGAATTGAAATCTAAAACAGATTGTTTATTGTTACCATGGCTACTATCACCACCACTACTACCACCATGACTACTACTACTACCACTGCTACTACTACTAAAATCATCTATATCAGTAGTAGTGGTAGTAGTTGTGTTTCTTCTTCAAATATCTACATCATACTGTATTTTTACATATTTTTATTTGCCTACATATAAAATTAAATTCTATTTGGTTTGTGTTATTCATTCTATTTTGTAAGACAATAAGTATAGATAATATGCGTGCAATTCAATTCATACATAAATATGATAACCATAACTCAGATACATTTTAAATCATTATAACTAATTCCATTTGTTCAATGATATAAACAAAGAAAACAGAAAGAAAATAAGAAAGAAAACAGAGAGAAAGAAAGAACTTACTTGTTGCTGTTGTTGTTGCTGACAGTTTGATCTTTTATTCTTCTTCTTCTTTTTGTTGTTTTTGTTGTTATTGTTGACAGTTTGATCTTTTATTCTTCTCCTTCTTTTTCTTCTTTTTGTTGTTGTTGTTGTTATTGTTGACAGTTTGATCTTTTCTTCTTCTTCTTTTTGTTGTTGTTTACTTTAAGTATCTAAATGATGTAAATAAAATTTTGTTTGATTTTTTATGGTTGGTATAATGATGTTTATGTTTGTTGTTGTTTTCGTTTTTTTTTTTAAAATGAAAAAAAGTCTTCCTAATTTACAACAATTTTCTAGAAAAGAAAATGCACATAAATATTGTAATGATAATAATAATAACAATACTACTTATTTCTTATAAATACTACTTAAATACTTGTACATCTTTTGATTGATTAGTCTTTTATTGGGATAAGTGCACCCTGTGTGGATTGCCTTAGATCACAAGTTTTATAAGCAAAGATAGATAATGGCTAGCAGTTGGGATATAGGATGTGTGTTTCATTCTGTTTGAGACTCGTCAGATGGATGTACCTACATCTCAGAGATGATATTCACTTCAGGACTCAAACCCCCCAGTGTACGCTTCAGGCGCCGTCACTATCTCCACTTAGCTACTAAGTTTTAATAGCCACTTGCTTGTGCGATAGAGTGAAGTTTGAATTCACTTAGTATTGTTTGCTTGAATCTTCCCATTGTTATTTTGGACTGGAATTGATCAGTCTCCTATTTTATTGGCATATCTGAATCCTGTTAACTTCAAATGCCATGGCGTTATCCATTCAGTTACTTACTTGTGCAATTAGGTGAAGTTTAAATTCACTTAATATTGTTTGCTTGAATCTTTTCAATGCTATTTAGCACGTGCGTTTCGTCCTATTTGGGACTCGTCAACTGGATGAACCTAGTTATTATCAATTCCTAAATTATATGGGAAGTACTTTTTATAATTCATGAAAAATCGTTTCTTCTTTCTGAAAATAAAAAGGACTACAATGGATGGTTGATTTAGTAGGAGTAGTGATTATTATTGTCTATATAAATATTACACAGATATGTGAATAACAAGGTTGTTCCTCTTTCTGAGATGAATACTTGTATAGGCTATAATCATCTTGCTAGTGTGAATGCGCATTGTTAATGAGTAATGTACAAAGACAAGGCAGATATCTTATGATTCCTAATTACTCAAAGTTAGTTTAACTGAAGTCAGTTCTGGACAGACATTTTACGTTAAGAAAATCATCTTTCATTTCAACAGTCAATAATTTCAATGTTTCAAATGATTTCAATTACATCTCAACCGGTAAATAACTCTTTGATATGATTAACTGTGTGGTTAACATTAATGCTAAGATTGTTATATTTAACGAAGCTAATTAACTTATTTCCCTAGTTGTTAGCGTGACATAGATTGGATTAAAGTATGCGCGCAATGTACGATTGTTTTGGTGCACGCTGATTGGCTAATTCTTATCTAATCAGCGCTAGTCGATACTTGGGGAACACTCTAGAAATCTTGTCATGCGAAAACTATAAATATACTAACGTTTTTCCTATTTTGCTTCTTCTTACTTCCATCTACCTCTTGTTATTTGTAATATAATCTCTTTCTTGTCCAACCATGTTCTGATTTGGGGCCTTGTTGAGTGAATTAGTGTCCGAGAATACTGAGCAATAGGAATAGCTGGGTTATAACTGTAAGAGAGAAATATAACACTAGTCAACCCTCTTCATTTTTCATCAGTTTAGAAGCTAAATTGAAATGGTAGTTGGAACTCCTTATAGAACACTTGCTTTTCAGGTCCTACAATGCTACAAAGCTTGATTGGAAAACAATAAAACTGAAAGCACCAGTTCAAAATTCTATGGTGAAGTTCTAGTGCAAACTATTCTGGAATGTAAAAAAATAGGATGTTCCCTTCAGACAACCAGAATATGCAACAGTATTCCTTCCTGAAAACGGGACGTTAGGGAAGATCGACCCCGAAAATAGCATACCTCAGCTCGCCGCACACATCATCACTGGCGACAAGGTCTTCAAAATACGAAGTCAAACCTTCAAGAACTCACAAAAAAGCCAAAGGTAACCCGTCCCAAGTAATGGTCCCTACGATTATACGGTCACTAATTTCACTAGTAACCCACCTTTTTCAGGTTCATCCAAAAGTATTCTTCCACATTGTGAGAAACTGTTCATACACGCCTAACAGAACACGAAAGTATGGCTTTAACATTACACCACTTATTTCCGTTTAAGTAGTTAACTAGTATCTCTAACTGAAACACATAAATTGTGAGCCAAACATAAGTACAATGCAGTGTGTTAACATATCACTTTCTTTACTGAACCGTGGATGATCACCTACAAGAAATAAGTTAAGCATACAAATAAAAATCACTAATACCTTAATTCATGATGTGTCCTTTATTAATTACTTTTCAATGCTTCACAAAGAACTATAAAATCTTTTTGATGTGGTATTGTTTACGAAATTGTGAAGACCAAGAGCGAATGTCTGGCACTTTAACCGGGTTAGTGCACACGGAGATTCCGCCTAGGGGAGTTGAAAAACCCTGATTCCAAACTAATGGTCTACATCGGTTCCAGTATCCTGAAGGAAAAAATTGCGTATGAACCTATTGTTGATCACCGACTACCATGGGACTGCATCTCCATACATTTCTACACTGCCCTATGGATTAGAACTTCGGGTCAAAGACTCGGGTGGGAGGTGGTCCTCTAAGAAAACCACCCGCTTTGGTTTGGGTAACCGAGTAGTATCCTAGCCCTCGCACAAATCGAATGGCGCATATCTATTTGCTGCCTCTTTGTCAGTCAGCTACAAAATAGGACCAGGCACATATATGCATCGGTCCAAGTCGCCATACCTCATTAGCATAACAAGACGAACAGCAAATTCATACAAGTGGTTACTTCAAATGTAGTAATATATAAAAGAAAGATTGCATATAAGGATATATTACACGAAGAAAGATTAAGTACGTAGAAAGATATAAAGCGATTTTATTCTCTTAGTTTAAGGGAAGACAGAGAGTGTATACACCGACGCCATTGTGATCGATTCTGAGCCATATCACCAAGAGTCTCCTATCATTGGTTGCGATAGTCACGCGGACCAACACAGCTCAGACGAGAAGTTAGTGACATCGAGCACTGATGCCACGTTTTGGTTTGGCTGCCCCTAACTTTCTTCCAACCATCCTCTACACTAGTCAGAATTGTGCGTCGTGGTAATTCATGTTAAGGCATACGTAACAGGTGGTCCAACTATTTCAGTCGAAGAAGATTGACAACCTCATCAACTGATTTACCATCATTCCCTAGTACTCTACGTCTTGCGTCACTATTACTTACCCGGTGATCCCAGGAGATGTGAGCAATATTTGTAAGGCATCGGTGGTCAAATACTCAGTCAGTCAGTCAATAACAACGTGGAACATCGTGCGCACGTACATCAGTTCGAGTCGCCACACCACATTAGCACAGAGATGCAGTTTTCGATTCAAATCCCGTAGTGGTAGAGGTGGTAAGAGTATAAGCAGTAATCGGGAAGATTATGGTTCGAAGATGTTATTCAACGAGTATAGTCCAGTGAAATAAATTTGGACAGAGAAAAAGGATATGAAGAATTTAGAAGATTAGAATCTGAGAGAACACAAAGAGTGGATATACCTGTGCCATTGCGAATGATTTTGAGCCATGTCATTAAGGGTCTCTAACCATCGGTTGTTATCATCTCGCGGTCCCCATCCAGGTAGTCTACACCTACGAACATGACTCAGTCCACTTGTTAGTGACTTCATGGATTTGTGCAATGTTTTAGTCTGGCCACCCCTACCTTTCTTCCAACCTACTCCTATACCATTGAACATCGCACGTCGGGGCAGTCGGTGGTTGGACATACGTAACACATGTCACAGCCATTGTAACTGATTAAGCTTCACTACTTCATCAATAGGTTTGCCATTCTTACCTAGTACCCGTTTCCTAACAACTGCATTACTTACTCGATGGTCCCAGGATATACGAGCAATGTTTCGAAGACACCTATGATCAAATACTAGTAACCTACGAATATCCTCTACTCTTGCCGGCCATGTTTCACTGCCATAAAGTAGGACGAAACGAACTGCTGTGCAGTAAACACGTCCTTTGTGTGATAGACGGATATCTCGCCTACGCCATAAATGACGCAAGTCGGCAAAAGCTAGTCGAGCTTTTTGTATCCGTGCTGAGATTTCGTCACACACCAGACCACAAGGGCTGATTAGACTTCCAAAATAAGTGAAGCGGTCAACATGCTCAACTACTTCACTCCCTATCACTAGTTCGGGTGGCGGTGCAACCCAATCCTGAGGCAACATTTTGCATTTGGAGAGGAAGAGTCGCATGCCGAACATGCCTGCATTGTTGCTTAGAGTGGTCAGCAGACTATGCATTTTGTCAGCGTCTCCACCAAATAGAACTATGTCATCGGCATATTCTAGCTCAAAGAGTGAATCTCCCGGTAGAAGTTCAACCCCTGGAAATTTAGATGAGGAAAGTGTTATCTCTAAAAGCACATCAATGACAAAGTTAAACAAGAATGGAGAGAGTGGACAGCTCTGACGAGCACCACTTGAGGCAATCAATTCTGATGACAGTTCGCCATAAGCTCTCACTCGACCAGTTGTGTTCGAGGAGAGAGCCTTTAAAAAGGTTAACGTACTTCTTTGGTACTCCTTTCAGTGACAAACCTCACGATCAACAGAGTCAAATGTCGCCTTAAGGTCGAGAAATACTACAATTGTGGATCGTCTGAATGTGTGTCTATGTTCTAGGATCTGACGTAGTGTGAATATTTGGTCTATACAACCACGTCCAGGTCGAAAACCAGCCTGGTTTTCTCTAGTCTGCTCTTCAGGAGCTTTGGTTAGGCGTCGAAGTAATATTGAGGCTAATATTTTAGAAACTATATTAGTCAAACTAATTCCTCTGTGATTGTCACAGGAGGACTTTTGTCCTTTCTTATAGACTGGCACAATCAGTGATTGAGACCAGTCAGATGGGATTACATCCAGTTCCCAGATTCTACCTAAGACCTCAGTCAATCTCGCTGCTAATACTGGACCGCCATCCTTAAAATTCTCAGGTGTAAACCTGTCAAGGCCTGCTGCTCTCCCAAGCTTCAGATTTCCTATAGCTTTTTCAACTTCGTAGAGTTGGAGGACCTACATCAATTTGCCATTCAGGTTGACTGGAGATCGTGGGAAACCGAAATGTGGCTGAAGGCCAGCTGAACTGATCCCTAAAGTGTTCTGCCCATCGATCCAATCTCCTGGATTGAGAATGAATAATATGTCCATCTTTCTCTGAGATTGTTTCGCTAACAGTTGGGTTCCTAATACCGGTTGCCTTAACGAGTCAGAAAAGTTGTCTGCTATCACCTAAAGCCATTACTTTTTCCATCTTGCTTTCGCTACCCACCACTGTTCACGATCATTGCGTAGGCTTCTAGTCAGCTTACGCTTAAGCTGACTCCGCCCTTCGTTATATTCAGAGACAGATGGAATGAGTTTTCGAGCATCTATAAGTGCGGTAGATGCTGCTGAGATACAGTTTCTCCCTAACCTTATGGTCTACCGTACTTTCAGACATCACTGTTGTTTCTACAGCTTTTCGGATGTCATTCCACGCTGCCTCGGGGTGGGCATCACCTACATGGTTGCCTAACTGTTTCTCTAGTTGTTCCTCAAATATACTCTTAGCTTGACTATCATTAAGTAGCATCCTAAGGGGTTTCTGTTATGGCCTGGCGAAGATTACGTTACTAGTAACTTCTGAAACCTATTAACGGACTAATATTATCTATATATTCTCATGGTGTAATTATTCAGTAACTAGATTATATATATCTATATTTCCCTTATTATAAGCTTTATTTTGATCTATACATTATTATTGTACGATTTATTGTTTCCATGTTATTCTCTATGTATTAATTACTATCTTCCACGTTCACAGCCACTTTTTGGCTTATTTGTGTACACATGTTATTTTCTACTTTATGGTGCGTTGTGGTCTGTCTGATAGATAGATATAAACCGAGTATGACTGAAATAAATGATTTGATTTGATTCGATTCGATTCATATTACAGAAGCTGGTATTGTGTTCTGGAATCGAGCGGATGAGCTAGAAGGTTATAGGACCAAATAAGAACGCTACACTGCTCATACCGGTTGAACGTCATTGGTTTTGTCATAGTGCGAAGATTTGTATAAGTCGTATTCTGATTGGTGGATAAGTCACGTGATCGAAAGCCGGACATAAAATCATAACAGTCTCCTTGCACCATCTTTCCTACGTTCAGTAAGACGCAGACAAATACGCACTCGCACTAGAGCATGATCTGAGTCTAAGCATGTGCTTCAGAATGAGCGACAGTCTTCTATCGAGCCCCTCCATCGGTGGCTGATAGCGATGTGATCTATTTGGGTCCAACGTTGGGACGAATTAAGAGGTTGCCATGTCAAAAGATATTTTTCCTTATGCTTAAAGTTAGTGTTTGCAAGAAACAGGCGGTTATGTGAGCATAGCTGCAACAGACGGTCACCGTTATCTGTTCTTTTAGCCACAACACCATAAGATCCACCCAGGTGTCTTTCCCTTTCGCTTAGTTTACCTACTTGAGCATTAAAGTCACCAGCCACTATTACTACATCTGAACGCCTAGCTTTTCGGAGAGGGTCGGAAAGCTTTCTGAGCTGCAGTCAGTGGGAGTGTAGGCAGAGACGACGAAGAGGCAATGACGAGTGTCCCTATCTTTCCGAGTCCTTACTGTTCCGTTTAGTCGGACAGCGCACAAACGACTGTCTACTGGGATCCAGTCTAAGAGAGCTAGTTCTGCCCTAGGACTTAATGCCATACCTACACCAGAGAGGTCACGGGAAGCAGCATCAGGACTTTCAGATACACGAAGTGTGACGCTACTCGGATCCTGTATGCACGTTTCGGAGACTCAGCACACAAATATGGTGCGACATTCTAAAGTCCTAGCTAAGGAAGCCTGTTATCCTATTTGGCACAGTGTTCAGACGTTAAAAGCTCCAGTGTGTCGTTAAGAGCATGGTTTCGGAGGACCAGGAATAACGTTCCGCGTACTCGAATCGTTCGCACTAGCGGTGCGAGGTGACAAATGGACGTGAGAAGGGTTAGTTGTGGAGATAAGAGAGGTATTAGGAGGTGTGGGAATGATTTGAATGTAACCAACTTGGTCTTGTGTGCTGTTACGGGTATGAGAGTTGATGTCACTTCCCGGTTGCCCACACCGTGGAAGGGTATTTCTTTAGGAACCTGAAAAGGTAATCGGATTATTGTTGGTCTTAAAGACCTGGGAGCGTGACCGCAGAGCTAAAGGGACAACTGCTTGAAGCCGGTCGCGTACGGCCTTTTCGTGGGAGGTTTTTAATGTGTTAGCTCCGTTCTTCAAACGGGCCTTACCGCCGGAGACGGAAATCCGTGGGGTAAGGTGAGGTGCGATGTTTTTAGGGTCAGCCTTTTCTAACCACTTACTTCCTTGTGAGAAGGCAGCATCACTGCAGATGCTGGTTGTCCGAGGGAAACACCTTACTGCTATCACACACCTCTACAGTCGGCAGTACAACTTCGCCCTCAGACCTTGGATTGCTGCTTTTAGTCTTACCGTTCTCCAATCGACCTGCCTGGCATGGTAGAACCTACAGGAACATATGTTCCAGCCAATATAGCTCGGTTAGGTCATCACGATAGGCAAACCCGACAACCGCGTCCAGGTAGCAGCTACGGTCAGGGGTCAAATACTAGTAGCTAACAAATATCTTCTACTCTTAATGGTCATATTCCACAGCTGTAAAGTAAAACAGAACGAACTGCCTCCTTGTATCAATGTTTATATGTTTAAAAAAAAAATAAAATATCGACAATAATGAATCATTTACATAATACATAGTATCATTTCATTAATTCAATTCAATGAATAAAAGTAAAGTACAATCTTTATCAATATATTTCACATACATAAATTACAATAGAAATCTACAGAACTGTACAATAATTAATAATAAGGTATAGATAATCTATTCATGATTGTTATATACATTCATCCATTTATAATGAATGTATATATTTCATTAGAAATTACAACTGGAAAGACCTGAAATAGATAGCCCAGAACAGGGTTAGATGAAGAATTCTGATGAGCGGTCTATGCTCCTTCATGAGGAGTAACAGGCGTAAGTAAGTGAGTAAGAGAGAAATCAAGAGAGAGAGAGAGAGAGGGGGTGGATACTATTATTGTGTTAATAATTCCGGTGGTAAATGACCAACATCTCCAAGACGATTAAGTGTTACTATTGAACCATATTTCAAATTTTTTGTATATTTCACTTTATCATTATCATCCCTATTATTATCTTTATTAGAATTAAGTATAAATTCATCATTTGTAATGATTAATGTACTAATACTACCATGTCCTAAACTTAAACGTAACCAACCTTCAATTGGTAATTGTAATAATTTACAAATCCAATAACGAAATACATTAGCATGACCAATAAATACAATTGTTTCAATTGGTTTATATTCTATAATACGATGACATGGACAATGACATTTTATAATCATATTTATAATATGATTAGTTTTTAACAAAGAACAACATTTATTAGGACAATATAATGGACCATTATATGCAATAATACCTTGTTTTGTAATTGGTTTACCATGTAAATGTATTTGAAATCCATCATCAATACGAATACCTTCTATTGAACGAATAGTATCAGATTTTTTTGTAGATGCTTTAACACCATCACCACCACCACCACCATCACCGTCACCGCCACCCCCGAAAAAAATGAAATGAAATATTCATGTAAGTATAACAATAGTAAATGAAGGTTTCACACATATGAACAATGGTAACAGTACTTAAGATTCAATACGATTAATACAATATACGTAAATGTATATATTACCATTATGTTAATAGTTAAAAACTAGTCACACTTTAAACAAATCGAGTTGAATCTATTAAATTTGACTAGTTTTTCTATACTTACAATATAGATATGAAAGATCCACATGGTCTCCAGTATGAACCTATTGTTGGTCACCGGCTATTATGGGACTGCATCTCTTGATGTTGCTCCACTGCATTGTGGATTAAACCTTTAGATCAAAGTTTACGGATGTGGCCTCCTAAGAGCGTCACCGAGTAGTATTCCAGCCCTCATACAAATCGAATGATATATGTAGCGTAGATCTATTTGATGCATCCATATACCAATATTTATGTGTTTAAATAAATATATAAAGTGATAAAATACTTTTTTTTTCAAACAACACAAAAAGAATATAAGTAAGAGATGAATCAATTCTAAGTGATTTGATCAATATTAATTGAGAATCTTCATATCGATAACAACCGTTCCCCTGAATTGTTAGCATGTTTTAATTTACAGCCAATACAAACATTGTTTTAACTTTGTACCCAAAAGAAACCTACATACATTTCTTGCATGTAGAGCTAGGAGGATATGCTCAGACGACATAATGAACAACGAACTAGAGCTCATTCATAATATGTTGATTGAAATAGATTATCCACAAGGTTTCCTGAGGAAACACTCCTCGCGATGCTCTACTGCTTTGTGGATCAGACCTTTAGGTCCAAGGCTCGGGGTGTGACCCCCTAAGAAAACCACCTGCTTCGGTCTGGGCACCCGGGCAGTATCACAGCCCACACACAAATATAATGAAATGTCAATATTTATGGAAAAATTTTGGTGCCCTTTTTGTACCAATATTTATGTGTTCAAATAAATGAATAAAAATTGTAGTTTTTTATGAATATTATTTCAGCATCTATATTTTTCAAGCCACTGACCCATTTCCTATTCTAATTCATCCATACTACTCTGTACTTAAACTAACACATCTTGAGTAGATGTTTAGATTAGACAAGGATAAGTTATGTATTTTCTTGGAGAAACTAGATTTATGATCTTACATTTTGTTTAACATTAACCATTTTTACTCAGTGGTTAATAGACTATATCAGATTTAATAAAACTCTACCAACTGGATAGGCAGGTAGTATTTAATTTTATTTATTTATTTATTTTAACACATAGATATCGGTACAAGAAGGCATCAAATACATATGCGCCACACAGATCTCATTGGATATGTGTGAGGTTTGTGATACTGCCCGGGTGCCCAAACCGAAGCAGGTGGTTTTCTTAGAGGGCCACACCCCGAGCCTTTGACCTGAAGATCTGATCCACAAGGCAGTGGAGCATCGTAAGGAGATGCAGTCCCATGTTATCCGGTGACCAATGATTGGTTCATACGCCATTTGTTCCCGCAGGATACTGGAGCCTATGTGCACCATTGATTTGGGATCCGGTTATAGCGCCGGAAATTCGCTTTTCGTCCTCTCATTTTCGTAAAAAACACCCCCGCTACGAAAAGGCAGTGAGTAGGACTTCCCTGGCAGAGGCTATATACGCATGCCCATGTGAGAGCATTTCGAGAGGGAGAGCGGACTCTCTCCACTCTCGGCCATACCAGGGCATTTGGGGGCAGGTAGTATTTAATGTTATCTCTTTAGAATGGTCCACATTTAAAACATGCTTTAATGTTTCAAACTCAATGGAAAAAACACAACCCATTATTATATTTTTATCTGGGATTGAGAAACATATGCGTTCGACTTACATGTTGGTGGAACAGGAGCAACAGGAGGTGGACCCTCAGTAAGATAACGTGATAGTTGACAATCGAACGTAGCACTCGCATAAGGCGTATATGGATTGTCAATCATTGGCATTTTCACTGAAGAATTTGATTTAGACTTTGAAATTGTATTTTTTTGGTTAGATTTTTGTGTAAAAGGGTATGATTTAGGATCATCTAACTCGGATGAATATGGTATAACAAGTTGAACAATTTCTGGTGAATCAAACAGATCGTCAACATTATTTTGTAAGCCAATTAGAACAGCAGCTGTAGTTTGTCGAGCACGGATTAAATCTGAGTGTATAATCCGATCAATTCTAGTAAAAAAGAACATGTGGGAGATTGAAGCGTTAACAGACAGTAAGGGTGAACAAATGGAACTAGAACAGTTTCATATAAAGACTATTTGTGAAAATTTAAATAAACTTGAAAACGTATGAGTAGAACAAGCCCGAAAAACTAATGATAATGGAAATTATAAAAACGACATAAGTATAGCAGATTAGTTTACTATATAGTCAGTCAGTAACAACATAGAACCTTGTACGTATATACATCGGTTTAAGTTATCACATCCCATTAGCACAGAGAGATGAACTTGTCAGACGAAATCCCAGAATAGTAGAGATAGTAACATTATCAGTTTATTTATTTGAACACATAAATATTGGAACAAGAGGGCACCAAATATATATGCGCCACACAAAACAATCAGAATTTGAGAAAAATAAAGGTAAAGAGCATTAAAAAAAAAGAACAATAACGATCACATTAGTGTAAGGTAGTGTAATAATAATAATAATAGGTAAAAACGGAAAGGTACAATCAGAAGAAATCTTTCACTTATGGAAGATATAACCACTTTTTATGAAGAAAGTAAAAGAAGGTTACAGCAGGATCACCACTGGCTTCTATTCTGAGCCATATCTGATAACGTTTCTATCCACTGTGTTGCACCATCTCTCGGACCCCAGCCACGGAGTCATGAGGGACCAAGACAAGCCAACCTTTTGCAGCTTTCTTTCATACCACGACACAATGTCATACACCGACCACCTCTCCGCTTTTTCCAACCAATCCCAGTGTCGGTAAATAATGCACGAAGTGGAATTCTCTGGGACGGCATTCGTAGAGCATGTCCAAGCCACCGACATCGATGTTTCAAGATGGTGACACCAATCGGATTGTCGTCTCTGTGCCCGAACACACGATGCCGAACCTCTGCATTACTAACATGGTGTTGCCACTGGATGTCAGCAATCCTTCGGAGACAGCGATGATCGAACAAAGAGAGTGCTAATAGGAAAGATTAAGCATCGGAGATACAACTCGGAAAGAATATATAAATTAGTGAGATAAAAACACGAAAAGTTATGATCACGCGGACTCCAACCAGGTTGTCTATACTCACTAACATGTCCAGGCTAAATTACCAGTGACACTTCATGGACTGATGACATGTTTTGGTTTGGGCGCCCCCAGCTTTCTTTCAGCCTACTGTTGCACCAGAAAACATCACTCGTCGAGGTAGGTAGGTAGTGGTTGGCCACATGTAACACATGTCCTAAGAACCTCAGTTGACGAAGATTTACTACCTCATTAGTCGATTAGCTATCTTTACCTAGTACTCTCTTCCTAACCCAGACACTGATTACTCCGTGGTCTCAAAATGCACGAGAAATGCTTCGTAAACATTTATGATCGAATAACAGTAACCTACGAATATTCCCTACTCTTAATGCCCATGTTTTACATCCATTAATTAGAAAGGAGCGAACTGCTGAGCAGTTAACTCTCCCTTTGGTTGGAAGACGGATATCACCCGGACACCATAAATGGCACGAGTCGGTGAAAACCAATCAAGACTTATGAAATGATACCAAGACTTAGTCAGACACCGGACCGTCAAGACTTATAAGACTCCCGAGATAAATGAAGCGATCGATGCGTTCAACTATTTCACTTCCTACCACTAATTCAGGCGATGACGCAAACCAATCTTGAAGTAACACGTTGCATTTGAAGAGAGAGAATCGCATCCCGAACATGATAGGATTGTTGCTTAAGGTGGTTAGAAGACTAAATTTTGTCAGCGTCTTCACAAAACAGAACCACATCATCTGCTTATTCTAAGTCAGCAAGTGAATCTTCTGGTAGAACATCAATCCCTAAAAAGTCAGACGATGAGTTATCACTAAAAGCATGCCTATGACAAAGTTAAGTAAGAATGAAGGAAGTGGACGAGCTTTCGCAAGGCTAATGTACTTCTTTGGTACATCTTCTGATGATATACACTGACATAGCAACTCAACGGAGTCGAATGCTTTAAGGTCAAGGAATACTGTTTTGTAAGATGATGAGGTTTTCAAGAAAGTTCTCTGAACACCATTTGTGAGTATTTAGCACTAGCTACGTAAAAATTGATTATTTTAGAATTAGTTCATGTATATCTGACTATAGGCAATTACACTCAGATTGAACAATAGTTCAATTAACCGTTATTCATGTCTAATTTTCCATTGCGATTGATGATACACTTACAACTTCCCTGTTCGTCGTATTTTTCAACTCCCAATTTGACTATGTTAACATGAAGAGTAGCAACTTCGACCGATACAAATTTGTGCAAGGTAATATGGTATCAGAAAGATGCAAAACATTTTTGTTAGTAAAATATTCAAAAGCTGACCAATGGTTAGGAATATAGTAAATTTTATATTTAGTACTATTGAACCACAGTGAACCATAGTCACGGAATATACAATTTGATAATAGCTGGAGTTATGTCAGTGATTTAAGCACTCGACTTAATACGATTTTCAGTGGTGATAATATAGTTTTAATGCCCTAAAGTCGAAAATTCCAAATCCTCACAAGTAATTTCGTGTTTTTATCTCACTGGTTTATATATTCTTTCCGAGTTGTATCTCCGATGATTAATCTTTGCTATTAGCACTGATAATGTTACTATCTCTACTATTCTGGGATTTCGTCTAACAACTTCATCTCTGTGCTAATGGGGTGTGATAACTGATAAACGATGTACATACGTACAAGGTTCTATGTTGTGACTGACTGTTAATTCTGAGTAAAAAAATCATGGGATTGTTAAATAGGTGTGATGGAATGAACCATTTTCAAATAACTGGGAGAGTTATTTAGCTTCATTAAGCCACTTTTACTAACGGGAAGTGATGAAAGAAGTTGCAAGCCGACTACAAAACAGCATTGCTACTTACAAGCCTCAAGATACGTCCAATGAACAAAGAAAATAATGTTTGACGAAAACTAAGCTTCCCATTGCAGGTACTAGGACGTATCGTAATAGACAACAAAGAAAAACTGATAATTTAGTAGTCGTGAACAGATGTTTAGGTACTAGATAGTTAATAAAGCGTCATATTTCAAACCTACAGCACGTAGTCCAAAACGTTATCCAAAAGTCACAACCACACAAGCAATACTTCACAATGCAAAGCTAAAACACTCAAATTTCATTGATTACTAAGATAAAATCTGTGGATGAATAGGAAGTATGACAATTATGTACAATTAATATCACATTTAAGCCTACTTAATTCCCATTTCCCTAAGTCGACAACCTGCAGCATAAGCTTGTCGCCAACCAATATCGGTGAGGACCTTTTCCTCTGATTTCTTTCTATTCAAATGATACTGTCCATGACGTATAAAAATAATTAATTTATGATAAGGTTGCTGATGTTTTACTACGTTAAGTGTATCTGGTTTTAATTCGAACTTGGAATTATCGTGTATACCTATAAAAATAAACAATAGAACGACAGTTAACATTTCAGGACGATAAAATTCATTATATACCATGTGACTTATCCCAGTTGTAGTTCCAGTGTTGGATTTTCAAATCAGATCCAAGAGAATGTACACTACAGTACACGGATGCTGCTGTGAAAAACTTGAACCCAAATGTTTTGAAATACCACATCGCAAGATGCAGAGGACAAGCGTTTGTGTGCAGAATTCGGTTACTTGACAGTCTGAAAGAGATAAACATTTCATTAGCTAGTTTACAATATGAATATAGAAAAAAAAATGAACTCTCCTATCGTTTTGCTTGTAGTATTTTACGAGTGTTATATTGGATTATGAAGTTATACTACGGGGGGAACGTCAAAGTCATAAACCACATAAGATCTAGCACAACGCTTTATAAACATATCTGTACTACAAAAACGATAAGGTCGAAATATTTGTTAATGGATGAACATTCCTTGGTTTTCAATTCCGTTACAATGTACGAAGGCTTGAAACTATTTAACAGTGGTTTTGGTTAATAACAGGTGTATTTAACTAAGTACATAAAGCAAACCAATAAAATAAAATGCCATTCTCTCTAATCTAATATGCTTGAACAGAAAGAGCACTGATAGCATAAAACATTCTGAACCGAAGTAGTCAGGCCAATAGTTTTATGAAGAGTAAATTACTGCGGGTCATGTTTTATCTAGCAAATGAAAATACGGAAATACAACATAAATGAGAATCCAAACAAACCCACACATTACAGTTAAAGATTTGCGGAAAACGACAATAAGTACTTCCAGCTCTCGTGTTCAGGAAAAAGGGAAAAAAGTAGTATGACTACAACAGGCGCGTAACCACAACCGATTGTGAGCTAAAGTTAGGACTCAATACTTTACAAAAAAAAATTTTCAACGGTCCAAAAGGAACTAGTAACTCTAACTACCATTTATCATGATCATTTCGAAAGAAAGGGTGTTGACTGGTTGAGGGAAAACTAAGAGTACCTGGTAAAGCTACTCAAGACATTGGGTGTTTGAAGACTATCAGCAAAATTTTAGTGATGCCCATACAAGCTAATAATTTTACACACATTAAAGAAGCCCTCTATACTTCAGTTCATTAATATTATGCATAAGTAAGGATGAAATCATAATGTAACCCAATTACCCTATCTTGGCGAAAAATTTTTCTCCAGAGTTCTCGGGGAAATAGTAAAAATAATTGCGGAAATTTCGGGTTTACCTCAATATTTCCCTAGAATCTAACAACACTTTGGCATTTTTCCTCAGATTGTAAGGAAAACTATCAAACTTTTCATGACTTTGTGGGAAACCCCGTAATTACCCGAAAAATTCTGCAGTTTCTCTGAAGTAGGTAGATTGCGAACTTAATTCACGACTAGATAATCGCGGTCACGGATGACCTTCAGTCTTTAATTAACAATAAAACGTAAAATAAATCGATGAACACGCGTTATTCTTTGTAACTTGTTCTCCAGTAAAAATTCTGCTTCTACTTTAAAGTATTTGCTGATTCGGCTGATTAAACTTGTTTGCGTAAAGCTTGGTCACCCATCCACGCCAGATACGAATTGGTAATTCGTCTGTGCATTCTCTTCAACTACTAGCCACCTTAGGTCAAAAGCTTTTCAACATATCGGCAACTCGTTCATTCCTGATTTCCGGTTAAACTGGTTTGGTGCTGTCCGGCTATCAAAGAGTTACGGATAAAATGGGTGTCAAAGCCTGAGTATCTGTTACATCACATTGTCGGACAAACAGTTGCCTCGTAACTAGTGACTTAGTTACTAATGAATGCTTATTCCGAAACCCATGTTGCTCAGGAGTCAACAGGCTATATAATTCTATATAAAGTAATAAAACTTTGGTTATTTTTAAAAGTAGATAAGTTACTCTTCTGCTTTGACTGATAGATTGGTAGTCAAACAAAATCTGCCCCATTCCATACTTAAACATATGGCGAAAATGGCATTTTTCCAATTCTTGGGGGTTTAGTTGTGGAAAGTGCTATGTTAGGGAGCGTCGTGAGTGATCCTGAAACGGTGTCTGCTTGGAACGACATTAATTGTGGTTGTGTAACAAATTACGCTTGGTGACTAAGAATTAAGTGTACAACTCCTGTCGACGTCAAGACATCATAGATCAAGTATTTATTTGCTCCCTTATCTCGCGTGTATTTTGATATTTTCCATTATCCTATCTCGAATTTTGAAAGGTACGTTTGTTTAAATTAAGAGTTTGACCTCCAACAGTTGTGTCCCACAATGTGAATTAAAACCTGCTCCAACAACCGAATTCCGATTAAATATGAGAACAACTGATATACCCCGACTCAACGGGCACCCAACAAACACACAGCAACCAAAACATGGAATAACGCCTCTTGTCAGGGCGTTTAAGGTCGTTTAAACCTGACGGCTTACGGCTTCGAAACGGCCTGATTTTTTACCGTGCCTCTATAGTGTGGCGTCGAGTCACGTTTGACCATGCTCACCACTACGAGAAGATTGCGTACCAGAACCAGCTAAACCTCCGAGTAAAAGTTGCAGCGAGATATATTTGTTGGCGATCTCGTGTTATTGAATGAATACCTAGATCGTCTAAACGGAGAACAAGCGGAACTACTGAGCAAACGCAATTTCTTGCAACTTCACAAGCAACGGAAGGAAGAATGTCTTTAGTACAGTTAAACAAACAAGTACAGTAAAACAATCACTGGTAAACTTGGTTATAATAATAATTGTATCCACTACACCAATCGCGTTCTCTTGATAAAAGTAAGTCACTACAGGACCTTCGTTAGAAAGGGCTTACACTTTTGATACGCAGCGGTTTCGTTCGTGGGATTGATCGGCAAACGTGCGATTGTAGGACGAGGGTTGGCAGTACAGGAAGTGATCAAAGAGATGTGTAGCACTCATGTAGTGTAGGCATAGAGCCCTATACCGTATCCATCGTTGATTGAGAGGTTAGTCGCGAAAGTGTTCGGGCAGGCGTACTCGGGGACCAGAACGTAAGATCATGGTCTCGTCCGTACTTCGTGAGCCTGCAATCTCGTCCAAAGTAACGGGCGACGTCGTCTTGCGATCTGGACGTGAGACGGACGTCTCGTCCGTAGATGGTGCAGATGACGCGCGCTGTTGACCGGGTCTTGAGAATGAGGTCCCTGATGTAGCTGGCGTGGAATCCGAGGAAGATATAGATTTTGGTCTAGCATTGAGTTGCAACTTATCAGGTAGGGCACTGTTATTAACGTGTGCTGGTTTTAGACGATCAATGCTGATGATCTCGACGTGGCCATGTTGATCAACCTTGAAGGTCTTTTCGTGACGAGAAATCACTTGGAAAGGTCCTTCGTAAGGCTGCAGCAAAGGTTTTCACACAGAATCTACTCGTATGAAAACATGTGAACAGGTAGATAATTGTCGAGGGAGAGCGACCTGTACATGTTATATTCGAGTTGAGACCGGAGGCAGTGTTCGCATAAATTCAAACAGTCATTGGACGTGGTCTGATGTACCAAAATCGTTACTGCTCCGTGGTTTGAAGAACTCTCCAGGCAGACTCAATGTCGTGTCGTATACAAGTTCAGCGGCGGAGCATTGAATATCTGCCTTTAAGCTGGTTCTGATGCCTAAGAGAATGAGCGGTAAGGTTTCGTACCGATTGTCGTTTTCGTGTGCTCGAAGAGCACCTTTAAGTTGGCGATGAAACCGGTCAACTAAACCATTTTACGCTAGGTGAAGGCCGTAGTGCGTATGCTGTCCGTACCAGGCCGCCGGGTCAGTAGAGAGGATGGTTCATCGGGGAAATTTCTCGAATAAAGCGTGGAATATATCGTCACGCGAGTGAAATGCGCCTAAGATTCGGTCTGCGTACATTGGAGTCTTTTATTAATTCCACACTCATCGTTATCTACCACACCAGTTGCTGCCCGGATTTTATACATCGAAAAATATCAATATGAAAATGTGCAACAAAAGTGGATAGATAGATAAAATACTCACCGTAGTAGTCTTCTTTGGGAAATTTTACAGGCGTTGAGACGTGTTCCCAGATTTAGCTCACCAGTTGTAGTGTGGCGTTGAGTCGTGGTTGACGATGATCACCACTACAGAGAGATTACGTGACAGTTAACCTATAAGATCTCCCGTAGGCGATTTATAAGAAGGCAGTTGATAGCCGTGGTCGATATGTATTTGTTGGCGATCTCGTGATATTGACAGAATGCCGAGATCGTGCCAAGGAGTACGAGCGAATTCACTGAGCAAACGTAAGCGCTTACAAAGTCACAATCAACGGAAGAAAGTATGTATTTCTGCACAGTTAAACAAACAATTACAAGAACAATCACTGGTACGATTGATTATAATAATAATTGTTTCCATTACACCAATAAAAATAGGTCACTACACCTCCAACACTTCATCTGACTTCTGTCATGGATTAAGCTAAGGGCAACTGTGAGCATTAAATTGATGATCCCAGTTTTGCTTTATCATAAAAGTAGTCCTGGACTTGTAATATTACCTTTAACATAAATTTCATATATGTATTAAAACCTTTTTACGGCGTCATACCTTTGTTGGAATTGCTTTTTACCCTATTAAACATCTCGTCCTTTCTTGTTTTACTCTCTTTTTCGGCATCCTTGTGATTGACCTTCGAAAAGACATATAAAACATTTGGCATTTTCCGTTAAGCTGATTTCATTTTCTATGCAACTCCGAAGGAACTACCGCCAGACCAAATAAAGTGAACAAATTCCGAATGTTGTAAAGGAGAATAATTTTATAAAATGATTCCTTAGGACATCATGAATTCCACCCCAAGCTACCAATTTTGGGAAAATTTTACACATTTTGGGGAATCTGCCATTATAAACTTTGGGGAAACGGCACAAAATCCCCAAAATTTCCCCAGACCCGGGGAAATTCGCCAAACGTTGGGGTTTTTCCCCAAAATTTCCCCACAATTTGGGGTTTTTGCCCTACATTTCCCCACACTTTGGAGTACTTCAACCTAACCGTTTTAACGCAAAACTTATACCGATATCTGCAGACAACACTGAAAACCTTGCGAGAATACATTTCTTACTGTGATATGCCATTATTTTTCGCCAACTACGTGTTGCCAAAGCAACTTAACGCCAATGAATTAT